ACGCCGTGCCTGCAGGGCTGCCCGTGGGCTTGGTACCTGGCGGGACCGGCTGCCTGTCCTCCGTCCCGTGCGGCTGCTCCATGGGCAGCAGGTGCCCCTGGCCGGGGAGGCCTGGGTCCGGGGGGGCACAGTGAGAAAATCTGCCAGGCAGGCTCCGCCACGCTGCCCATGCTGCCCTTCTCCGTGAGCCCTGGACGGAGCTGCGGGACCCCTCAGGGCATCTCGGGGCCTCCGCTCTCCCCTGGCACTTCCAGGCAAGGGGCACTTGCTTATTGCCACCTTCAACAGAGGACAGTTACGTTCCCAGGCACCTCTCCCCTGTTTGGGCCAAGCCCTGGGGCTCCCCAGCTCACTGGCTTTCCCAGGTAGGAATTTGGGAAGGGGAACTGGTCCAGCAGCCCCACTGCACTCATCTCAAGGACATCTATCCAAGTCCACAGGACCCAGGTTGTCGGTGCCCAGAGAGCCTGGCCTGGCTGAGTGAGCACCCACCAACATCTAGAGACTCCCAACCTGATTTAAGCCAAAAGAAAAAAAGCATCTGGCCAGGCACGGTGGCATATGTCTGTAATCCCAGGGGCTCCGGAGGCTGAGGCAGGAGGATCACAAATTCAAAGCCAGCCTCAGCAAAGTGAGGCATTAAGCAACTCACTGAGACCCTGTTTCTAAGTAAAATACAAAAAAGGGCTGGGGATGTGGCTTAGTGGGTGAGTGCCCCTGAGTTCAATCCCTGGTACTAACAACAACAATAACAACAACAACAAAGCATCTGCTCAAACTAAGTAAAAATCATGACCTATCCTAGTGAAAACGCAGTGATTCTAGGTCCACAAAATCCATCTATATACAGTCTTAATTGTTTTGGTTACAAGTAACAGAAAATCTCATTTAAACTAAGTTAAACTTTTAGATTACATAACTAAAAGTTCCAGAAGGATTATGAGATCAGGTATGGTTTGATCAAGGTATTATTAACTTGATTTCTCAGACTCTTTTTTACTGGATGGTGGTCTTTTATAGTAGTAGCTTTGGCTGTAGGATGGCTTTTCATATGGTGGAAAAACAACTGTAGAATTACCAGGCCTCAAAGGTATCATCTTCACTGTCCAAAATCTAAATCTTTTCTGAAACCAAGTGTTGAACAAGATTCTTATATTTCACTTTCATGGGACTCCCCTGAACCAATCTCTGTGGCCCAGAGGTCACCTTAAGCCTGTCCCAGTCTATTCTCAGGAGCTGCAGGTGGTAGAGATCCCCCACCAACACTCAGAGGCCCTGTGCCAGTGGGCAAAATGGGGCCCTGTATGGTGTCCTCTGTCCCCAAACCAGTCCTGCTTGTTGTAACAGTCTTCACAGAACATAAAGGCCCTGGTAAACCTTCCCTCGGAGACCTGACACTTTTGTCTGGACCCACGGGGTGGCTGTGTTTTCCACGCCCGAGGGCCCCTGCCTACAAGCCTTCCTTTGTTGGCTGTTGGAAAACACACAGCCGCACCCCTCCCACTCCACCCGCTTCCAGGAAGGGCACCAGCTTTCGGAATTAGTCACACTGTCAGCCTCCCACACAACAATCCCATTGAATCCAAAGGGCAGCTCTGCAGGGGGACTGCTATTATTATCTCAATTGTGCAGACGGGGAAACCGAGGCCCACAAAGGGAGCCGGGCTTTTTTTTTTTTGAGATCACACAGTGAGAAAATACCAAAGGGAGCCTGTGTACTCAGGTTGTCTGGCTCTGAGTTCCTTTCCTCTCCACCTGTGGGCCTACTGTGTGCTCCCAAACCTGTGCTAGACTTAAGGAGGATGGGGAGTCTGAGTCGTGTATTATGGGGCCTGGGATACAAGTATGGCTTTTCACCAATTCGCTCAGTAAACGTTTTCTGAGCACCTACTATGCGCCAAGCCCTATGCTCTGATGCTGGGGAAATAGCAGGGTGTGGGATGGCACAGGTCCTTTCTGCAAAGAGCTACACTCCAGAGGGAGAGACAATAACACAAGCAGTGCATGTTTATTAGTCCGTTTATTAGTGCTACAGAAAAAATACATTGAAAACCCATGTATAAATTTTTAAAAAAATTTAAAATTTTATTTAAAAAATAAATTTAAAAAGGCGAGAATGAGAGCAGGCGCTGGGATTCCGGGGAGAAAAATGGTCCTAAGTTTCGTGGCCGAGGGTTGCCTCACTGAGAAGGGGACAATTGAGCAAAGCCAGGAGGAGATGAGCGACCCCGTGCACACCCGGGAGCTATGAACTGGGGGGGTGTGGACAGCGAGGGCCAGGAGCTGGGTGGGCGGCGTGAAGGGCGGAGCAGGTGGCCGTGCAGCGCCCCCCCCCCACCAGCAAGCCGGTGAGTGAGGGGAGGAGGGCAGCAGGTGACCAGGTCGGAGAGCGCTGGGAAGTCACTGCTGTGCCCAGGGCTTTTGCCTTCACTGGGAGCGAGGTGCAGCCAGGGCGGGGCTCCCACCTGGGAGGGCTCCCTGGGAACAGGAGGAGCAGGGGGCAGGGAGGAGGGGGTGGCGGCTGGTCCGGGTGGAGGCAGGGGCTGTTCTGGAAATCCTCTCGGAGGTCTTATCGGCTCTTTGAACCTTGCGGTCTGTTCTGGGGACCCTGACAGTTCCAGGGACCCTCGTTGTCCCTTTATCACCCCCCCCCCCACCACCGCACAGGGATCCTGGGTGGGAATCCCTCGCTCTGACCTCTCCTGAAGGGTGTGATCTGCCCCCAAGTGACAGAGCCTTAAGGGCCACAGTCTCCTCTGCAGGGAGAATAGCGCGTGTGCCAGGATCTGGTGTCCCAGTTGGCACCCCCAAAATATTAAGAATGGGCGAATCTAGGAAGGGTCTCTAAGGGCGCGGTAGGGCTCCTGGCTCTCTGGGTGCAGCACCTGCACGCCAAGGCAGCACCAGGGGACAGGGGCCGCTGAGCTGGAAGGCCCCAGGATGCCAGTGGCCCAGGAGCCAGCGCCTCCCCTGGCGGAGGGTGCCAGGCAGCTCCCGGAACTGCAGCCTCACGCCCGGCCTCTGCAGCCAGGGAGCCTGCCAGCCTCAGCCTGAGCGCGCAGAAACCTTTTCCTGCCCTTCTGACTTGCTCAGGCCTCGGAGCCTCAGGGACCCCGGGAGAACAATGCTGGGCAGCCCAGAGCGGGGTTGTCACCCCCAGCGAGGAAGGGGTGGACCCGGGCACTGAGGGGTCACGGCCTGTGAATTGATCCAGGAGGAAATAAGACATTATGTTGGGGAGGTGCTGACACAACACAACAGACTTTTTTATCCACAAGGAAAACAACCCGTGTGTAATATTTGGTAGGTGATAACATGCGTAAATGCGTAATTTCTTACATTCAAATAAATTCTGTTTAACTTTTAGGTACCAGATTCTAAATTTCCTTTTCCCTCCATTCTCTCAGAATTATTTTTTATCTTGTGGTTTTATTACTTTATATTTTTATTGATTTTTTTTCTCAATGCTGAGTTTGAATATTTTTGACTACAGAAAAGTTACATAAGCCATATAACGAATTTAGAGAGCCTTCATAGATTCACCAATTCTCCATATCTTGCCTCCTTGGCTTTATTTCTATTTATGTATAAGGTGTTTTGTTTTGTTTGCTTGTTGGTTTCTAGATTCTTCTATCTCAGAAATCTTTTCCTGCCCACTTGCCTGGCCTTACAAGAGATTCAGCCAGGCACAGTGGTGCACACCTGTAATCCAGGCAGCCTGGGAGGCTGAGACAGGAGGATCTCAAGTTCAAAGCCAGCCTCGGCAATGGCAAGGTGCTAAGCCACTCAGTGAGACCTTGAGTCTCTAAATAAAATACAAAATAGGGCTGGGGATGTGGCTCAGTGGTCGAGTGCCCGAGTTCAATCCCTGGTACAAAAAAAAAAAAATATATATATATATATATATATATATATATATATAATTTTTTCTTATAGTCAGTTGACAAACAGAGATTTTTTTCAGAAGGGAATCATAAAACATGAGCAGGCATGTCCTCAGTGGTACCATCTCACCTCAAGTGGGCAGATATACCCTCTCTTCCTGGACGCAGGACACCAGCCCCTGGGAGTCTTTGCTGTGCAAACCACCCCCAGATGCCTCCCCGAGGCTGGATCTGTCATGGCGGCCATCCAGGTGCAGATGGGATTAAGATTGGAGATGACAGGCGCAGTCCTGGGGCCAGAACGACCCTTCTTCCTTACCCTCTCTTGTGAAATCTCAAACTAAGAAAAGATGGGGCCAGGGTCACTAGGGAGACAGACCTGACCCTTCAACTACTGCCTCCAAATGGGAATGTTTATAATTTATAATGAACAGAAATGGATTCCGCCTACAGTTCTGGAGGCTGGGAAGTCCAAGAGCATGGTACCGGCATCTGGTGAGGGCTTCTTGCTGCATCATCCCATGGCAGAAGGTGGAAGGGCAGGAGAGGGTGAGAAAAAGTGAACAGGGGTACAGCCTTGCTTTTAGAATAACCGGTTCTCACAATAACTCACCCACTCCCATAATGGTGGAACGCATCCATCTCTCATGACCTCATCAGCTCTTAAGATTCTCCTCCCTCAGCACAGCTGCCTCCGGGAATAAATCCCAACTCCATGAACTTCGGGGGACACAGTCAAACCACAACAACTTGCGAGTTAAAAGAAGCCTGATAACTGGATTCAGTTATGGGGCCCGGTGGAGGCGGGGGCTGTACGTAGGGTGGTCAGAGCAGGCAGCAGGAGAAGGTGGCATCGGTGCCTGGAATTGAAGAAGTGAAGCAATGAACCAAGCAGACCCCAGGGGGAATCCCCGGCAGAGGGAGCCAAAGCCGCCAATCTCTGGGGTGGAGACACCACAGACATTCTGTGGAATGTTCTAGAACTCACTCGCAGGGAGGCCGAGGTGTCTGGAGCAGGATGAATGACAATGGGGGAGGGGGACGCTGAGCCTCTCCCCAGTTGGCCTACCCCTTCAGCTGGGGAGCTCAGAGCAGTGGCCCCAGGGCCTTTTCCGACCAGAGGACACATTTCGTTTGTCCTACAAAGTGTTAAGAAAATTCCAAGTCAGCTACCAGTATTTAAAAATCCAGAGATTTTCATCATAAAAATTTACATTTCTAACTTGTTTTGTCAGGTTCTGTTCTCTGTGCAACATGGGGGTGGGGGGGTCTCAAGGAGGTCCATAGATGCTTGGTCACCTCATGGGACAACTCGTGCATGGCTTACAGAAGCCAGGCTGGAGTAGCCATCACCACACCAGCCTCAGGTGGCAGGACAGAGCCACCTGCGGCTCCAACTCTTCTCCCAGAGGTGCTGACTCCTGAGGCCACAGGGGTCAGCTGCGTAGAGCCTGACAAGCCACATTCGCCTGTCCATCTGTCTCTGTGTCCCCTTCCGGCCCAGGAAGTGGAACTTGGAGTATCACTGGGCCTCTCAGCCCCTGCCTGTCCTGGGTGGGGGCATCTCTGGCTCCACCCCTGAGGCTGGCCCCTCCAGGACCAAGAGCCCACACAAGCAATCGGCCCTAAACAAGGACCCACCAAATTATTGAATGAAAATTAGTAAAATTTTGAAATCCATGACTGCCTACACCGGATGACTTTGATTCTCTGCTTTAGTCTCTGGTCCCCGAAAACTTTGCAATGTTCGCAAACTCCATGAAGATTTGTTTTTTTCTCATTTGCAAGAATTTCCAGGATTCTGAGTAATTATAAGCTAGCAGAGTCTCCATAGGTCCTTCGGGAACCAAATGATTTCAAAAGCAAAATGGAAAGGGAAACACTTGAAGTCCTTTTGTTATCTACATAATATACATCCATATATAAAATATGTTATATGTACAGTCAGCCGTTCGTGTCTGCCGTGCTACATCCACGGATTCAACCAACCACAGAGTGAAAGTGTTCAGGAAAAAAATTGCATTTGTATCGAACAGGTACAGACTTTTTTTCTGGTCATTTATTCCCTAAACAAAACAGTACAACCACCATTCACATAGCATTTCCATTGTATTAGATATTGTAAGGAATCTAGAGATGATTTAAAGCATGTGGGAAGAATCTCATGGGTTCTGTGCAAATACTACTGGATTTTATATTTAGGAACTTGAGCATCTGTGCATTCTGGTACCCAAGGGGCTTCTGGCTTGTTAGGCACAGATGCTCAGGGATGTCTGTGTGCTCATTAAATATGTCTGAAGTCAAATGAGCCCGGAAGACTCTCTCCCAAAGAGACCCAACCCCGACAGGAGGGAAATGACCACACCTAACTCCACTCCCCATGGGCTTTGCCAGGGACCCGGATGTCTGTGTACACAGGGTCTCAGCATCCTCCTGGCCACAATCCCAGCTCTGGCCCAATGCCCACGTGGCTGTGGCATGTTCAGGCCCAGCCTAGGAAGAATTTTACGATTGGCCTAAGTTGAGCAAAAAGCCCTATAAACACACACACAACAGAACCTAAGGCCACGGCAACGAAAGATTCAGAATATGAGCTTGACAGAAGTCGCTGATGGGTAGGGTCCCCCAGACTGAAACCTGCTCTTAACTGTGTCTTGAATGAACTTCATAATTTAACATAAATCTTAACTCACTTTTAATATTGAGAATTCACCCACAAGATACAAATTGATTCCCTCCTTCCCTCCCTCCCTCCCTTCCTTCCTTCCTCTTTTGTACCAGGGATTGAACCAGGGGAGCTTAACCACCGAACCATATCCTCAGCCCTTCTTTTTTTTTTTTAATTTTATTTTATTTAGAGACAGGGTCTCACTCAGTTGCTTAGGGCCTTGCTAAGTTGCTGAGATTGGTCTCAAACTTGTGATCTTCTGCCTCAGCTTCCTGAGTCACTGGGATTACAGATGCACAACCCCGAACCTGGCCAAATTTCTGACATCTATGGAAAATACGGTGGTCATTGGGTCATTGGCTGGAACTGTGGATGCAATCTTCTAATGGTTTTAATTAACCTTTTTTTTTTTTTTTTGAGATGCACATTTCCAAACATAAAATTCTAAAGGTACAAGGAGCATATGATGAGGAGTCTCTTCCATGATGTCCTCCTGCCTCCCATGTCCCCTCCCCGGAAAAGCCATGGGGGCAGATTTCCAAAGATGCCTTACAAGTGTATGCATGCAAACGGTTTTCTCCTTACAATGATGGCACACTCTGCAGTTTCCCTGTACTAGCTTTTTCCCTTAGCAAGATCCCTGAGAGATATTCCTCCATCCACTGGGACTTGCTCCGACATTTTTGGATATGACAGGGGTCTCCAGTTTGCCCAGTGGCCATGGTGCTTTACGGTTTCACACCTGTTCTGCTTCACTCCTTCGGGATTCTTGCCTGGCCTCTAGCATCTGAGCCCGCAGACGGTAGAGATGAAGGACAGAGCGGAGCGCCCTTCCGGTCCCCACCCACTTGCCGCCACTCTCTGATGCCTGCAGTTCCTACACTTCCCAGCAGAGGGCGTCACCACCTTGCTCCCAAGCCCACCAAGGGGTTTTCTCAAGGAGGTCCAGCCTCCAGGAGGTCCAGCCTCGACGTCCAGGGAAGAGACGCTCTCTCACTGGACACAAAGCCTCCCTTAGCTGGACTCAGATCCTCCCGCCACCACCCCTGTCCTGCCCCTGTCCTTGTTCCTCTGCTTCTATCTCCCCGCACTCCTCTGTTTTGAGCTGCGCCCTGACTGTCCCTCCCTCCTGTGCGGAGGGCCCCTCCCTCACGGGGGTGGCGGGAGCTTGGTTTAGTCTGGGGCCCGGAATTGAGAAACTGCTGGAGGGAAAATCCTAACAGAAGGCTTGTATCTGGAACGGCAAGGCTTGCCCCTCCCTGATGAGAAGCGGGGTTCCTCTCCCTGCCCCCACTTCCCTGAGTCGACCCCAAATACCCTTTTCCTGCCCTGCTTTGCACACTCCCAAGAACACCCGCTCCCTGGCCTGGGGCCTGCCGCCTTCTCCCCTCCCCCACGGGGGTGTTGGGGGTCGCCTGGAGTCCAGCTGGTGGCCAGTGCAGAGCCACCCTTTCCTGGCCCTGCCCCTCCCCGTGACCCCAATCCTCTGCCAGCCGCTCAATGGTGCCTTGTTCTCTCTCCAGCCCCCAGACAAAAGTCCCTCTGTCTAAGAAGGCGGAATTAGGGGGAGGGGGCACCCCCAACAGGGACCATGTGGGGGCCTCTACAGACCCCAGCTGGAAGGAATGCTGTGAGGCGGGGTGACCAGAGAGAGAAGGACAGGGCCTTGCACAGGGCAGGGGACCTTCTGGAGTGGGAGGCAGCCCCCCACCTAGCACTGGGCTGTGGACCCAGGAACCTTGCTCTCAGCACCTTGGGAGGAGCAAGGGCCAGGGAGCCTAGTCTCCCAGGGCAGGCTGGGGGTGGTGGCCTGGTCCGGGCACCCTTATTTGGTGTTCCAGTGTCTCCTTCACATCATGACCTTGGTCATATCAGCATTTTCTACTGACCCTCAAATGGTGTCAACAAAGACATGTGGCCTGGAAGGGACTTTAAACCCCCCATAGTGACCAGTAATCCCTCCCCCAAGCAAAACACACCATCCAAGCCAAAGAAGTTGGGTTGCTAGGTGGATGGGTCACCTCTCTCCCCAGCCTTGCCAGACAGGGGCTCTGCCATCAGAGACCCCAGAACCTTCCCCCTCCAAGATCTCTTTCTGGTTTCAGGAGATTAGAGAAAGTCCCACCCCTGATTCAAGGGACCAAGTTCCCAGCCCATCCTGCTCTCCCTGCACCTCACCTGAGGCTGCTGAACCCTTGGTGACCTGTGGCCGTGACAGGGGAGGGCGTGGAGCTGTCTCTTTAAGAGCAGGAGTGGGGTGGGGGAGCCCCCAGCCTTAGGGAGACCGGCTGGTTCTCTACCTGCCCAGGTTTGCTCAGGGCGTGGCAGCTGCAGATAGAGGCAGAACTAGGACTCCACTGGCAACTGGCTTTCTCCCGGAACCTCAGCTCTGCCAGAGGAGCCAGCACCAGGTGAGCACCAGGGCCCTCTCCGGCCAGGACCCCTGAGGACCCTCCCCCTCCCAGGTCCTTTTCTGATGGCCAGAGATTGGAGGAAGCCCCCTCCCTTCCTGTGACCGTCCCCCTTCATTCTCCTCGCAGGGACTGAGCCAGGCAGCTGGGGCAGGGTGAGACCTGTAGGTGGGGTCTGGAAAGACTGGCGGGGTCTGTGGGACCTGGGGACGTCTGAGCGGAACAGAAGTGTCAGGATTGGGGTGTCGGGGTGGCCAGGGTAGTTAAGTAGATGGGGGGTATTTCAGGGCATGGCGGGAGGCGTGCGGATCTACAGGCCTCCAGGAAAAGGAGAGGATGCCACCAGGGGATGCCGGAAAACAGGGAGTGAGTTAGACTTCAGGGACACGGAGAGGAGGGGTCTTTCTGCACACCCCTGAAGTTGTGGTTGTTGGCCATCAGCTCGGAAGAACAGAGGGGACAACAGCGGGCAGGTGGCAGATACAGCCCTCCAGCTGGTGTGGGACCCCCATGGCCGGGAGGGTGCAGCTGAAGGATCCGTCAGCTCCCCCTCCCCAGTCTTGGGTGCAGGGTGATTTCATGGGTAGGGGGGGACCGTGGAGCCTGGCAGGCCAGGGGGTGCTTGGAGAGAGGTCCGGGGTGAGAGGAAGAGGAGAGCCCCAGCAGTCCCAGGATGCGAAGCATATGGTATCAAGTGGAATTCTCAGGGGTGACAGGGTTTGTGACAGCAGCGTGGGATCATGATGGTGCCAGCTCCGTCAAGCTGTGAAGGTGATCTAAATGAACCATATCAAGAGCCGAGGACCGCGCCACGTGGGGCAGGCGCTCAGCAAGCACCAGCTATTATTGCCAGTGTTTGTGTCATCAAGGAGTGACAGAACCTCGTGAGGCAGCGTTAGACAACACGCAGATTGGCTCCCCAGCCGTCTGAAGTCCTGCCACTCCAGCTCCCCGCAGATGCTTTCTGGGGTCTAGATGTCTGAATAGCGCTCCCCAAAGCTACAGTCTCTCTTCCGGCAAGCAATGAATGCTCCCGCTAAAATGACTGTGAGCCTGCGCCACAGGGGAGCTGCGTGCGACATTCCCAGGCCAGGGAGGTGGAGAGGGAGATGGAAGAGCCTGTGAACAAGCAGGACAGACCTGCACCCCCAGCCGCGGAGCACGTGCTCTCTGAGCATGTATGCTGTCATCAGTGAGATGACGGTTGGCCTCAGGGGTTGCTGGGTGCTGAGAGCACAGCGAGGTCTCTGGGCAGTGTCCAGCGCAGGGTGGTGGTGGGAGGGTTCTGCTCCTGCCATCAGGATTCCCATGACACTCTCGGGGGTGGTAAAGTGGGCGGGGCTTACTGCAGGTACCCACGGTGGGCACAAGTTTGACACTGGGCCAGGGAGGGAGGGAAAGTGTCCCAGGTGCTGGGCAGGCCTGCCTGGGGAAGAGGGGCCCGCTGCCAGGGACGGGGAGGAAGGTAGGGGCCAGGGAGCAGGGCTGGGAAGGGCCAGGAGGCCAAGGCTGGGGAGGACGGGGGTCGAGGACAGGACTAAGTGGGGGCCGAGGCGGGCAGGGTACCGTGGGACAGAAGGTGGAGCTGGGCTGCCCCAGTGCCAGCCCAGTCTGTCCTCCCCAGCCCCCTGCCCCAGCCTGACTTCTCTCCCCCCTCCACCCTGCCCTGCCGCCTGAGGGGAAGCTCAGCCCCCATCTGAGGCCTGCAAAGTCTGAGCAGAGCCGGGCAGGCTCCGCGCTGTCTACGGGAGACACTCCCCAGCACCCGGGCCTGCTGCCACCTGGCTCCTGACACCCGCTTTCCCAAACACCCCGAGGCCCTGACAGCCCGGAGTTAGGAACAGCCACCAGGGAGCCAGGCCTGGTTGCAATCCTGCTTCCTGGCCAAGTGACCTGGGGCACCAGCGGTCACCTCTCAGAGCCTCAGTTTCCCCACCTGGAAGGTGGAGAGAGAGCAGGCTGGGCTCCCTTGCTCGGTTGCCAGAGTGACTCACTGAGGGCCTTCAGTCCCTGCCCGGTGGGTTGAGGAGCTGTTTCCTCATCGGGCCTGAGACCGTCCCCACCCCCACTTGACTTTGGGCCTCCTTCCTATCTCAGCCCGGCCAGTCTCAGGGCCAGGCTTCTCTGGGCGGAAGGCCGGGAGGAGGGCGCTAGGAGCCAGAGGCACGGGATGGGCATCCCGGTGGCCCTGCTAACACCGCGCCTGCTTCCTGGCCTCCTGTAGGTCCGTCCTCGACATGCGAGAGGTGGCTCTCAGGCTGCTCGTCCTCCTGGCAGGTGAGTCCTGGGCCCCCGAGTCGTCTTTTCCCCTGGACCCCAGCCAGGTGGTGCCAAGCTTGTGGGTCTACGCGGGTCTGCATTTTTCTACCTCCCCTGGGGAGCTGGTCACTGTTAGGGACGTAGGGTCATATTCATGATTTCAAGGGACACACAAGGAAGGTCAAGGCCTCTCTTAGCAGCAGCTCACACAACTAGAAAGCCACCGTCTTCCCCATTCCCCTGTCAACTGTCAACCTTCTGAGGAGACAGGGCCTCGGGCTGTGTCGCTAAGGCACCCCTAAACTATTCCAAGAGGCTGCTGGCAGCTGAGCCGAGCAGGAGAAATGACCAGAACACTCCGCGCCTCAGTCTCCCCATCTGTCAAAATGAGGAGAGTTAAGAGCACCCGTTGGCGGAGTCATTTCAAGGATGAAGTGAGTTAATATTTGAAAAGCACTTAGAACCGTGCGCGGTACAGCATGCACGGGGCGTGTGCTTCAAGTATGATTAAAAATAATTCATCTCCCTTCAGCAGCGAGTTTGAGGTCCAGAGCTGGGGCAGCCGGCTGCTTGGAACAGAATTTAATCCTGGTCCTTTGCTTTCTTTTGCATTTTTCTTTCTCTGTGGCTTTGGGCAGGGCTGGCATTCCGTTCAGGGTAGGCATGGAAAGTCGCATTCGAGTGTATTTAAGTCGGTAATAGGGAGTCACTTTGCAGGGGATGGTGAGCAGATGCCAGCCCAGGTGTGTGTGTGTGTGTGGGGGGGATGTGGCAGAATCAGGAAGGGAGGTGATGGATATGGCTGGCTTGGGGGGAACCGGGCCTTGGGAACCAAAGCCATATGTCGCCTTGATAAGAAAAGTCCCCCCACCTCTGCAGGAGGTGTGGATTAGCCATGTGTCTGGAAACACGCAACTGAACGGTGGCCCAAAACCACCCAGAGTAGAACCTATTACAGGTGACAAGTGGCTGGTGTGACTCAGAGGTGTGGGGGTGAGTGAGCGAGTCCATGTCTCCATGATGGGACGCCAAGGCAGTGAGACTGGGTTGGGACTCCCTGTGCCCCAGGGACCCTCTCCCAAGGCCCCCTGAACCTTCCATACATCACCATCTCCCTCCTTCCCTCTGGTCCCCACCAGGTCTGCCTGCACTGGACGCCAACGACCCGGAAGGTGAGTCAGAGGTCCCCCATCCACCCCTGGGACCCCTGCGAACTGCTGCTGTCTTTGATTCATGTTCTTTTTTTTTTTCTTTCCTTGCAGATAAAAACAGTCCTTTCTACTATGGTGAGAGCTGGTGCCTGGCTTCTTGGTCTCCTCCCAACCCCCCATGCTATTTTTTTGTCCAAGTCCCCACACAGGGTGGGTGGAGGGTCAGATGTGGGTCACAGGAACAAGAGGCGGCAGCATGGCCTGGGGGGAAGATTCTCATCCAGCAAGGTAGTTAGATACACTCAGAAAGCGAGGGCAGACCACAAGAAGCCATTAGGTTCAAACCAACTGTTAGGAGAAGGGCTTACATGAAAGACTTCCTGGAAGAAGTGAGGGACTCTACCCACCTCGGCATTCCCCCACCAGGTTCCACTGTTCTGCTCCCCCTTGTCCTTCTGCCCTCACCTCCTCCACTGTCCCTCATTCCTGCTCCAGCCACATTGGCCTCCTGCTGGTCCTCAGACACAGAACTGCCAGCCACAGGACCTTTGCACCTGTGGATCCCCCTGCCTGGAGACTTCCTATCATATGTCCACACGCTCTTTTCTTCACCTCCTGCAGATGGCTGCTCAGTTGTGGCCTCCTCAAAGAGCCCTTCCCTAACCACTGTCTCTAAAACAGCTGCCCTCTGACTCACAGTTCCCAGCCCTGGCTATTTTCCTTCAGATCGTTTTATCTCCACCTGTCCTGACAAGAAATATCTTGTTTGCCTGGGTGTAAACTAGAAGGTGTGCACCGTCAGGCTTGGGTTCTGTTCTGTTCTCTATCCCCAGTGCCCTGCACATGGTGGGTGATCAGTACCTATTTGTTAAGTGGATGGGGCGATGGATAGAAAGGACCCGGGTTGGCCTTGAGGTCTCCTCTGATTTTCTCCCAGATTGGTACAGCCTTCGGGTCGGAGGACTCATCTGTGCAGGGGTCCTGTGCGCCATCGGCATCATTGTCCTCATGAGTGAGCGCAGGGGCTGACGGGGCAGTGGGCGGGGCGAAGCCTGGAGTCCCCTCCCTTGACTGCTCACTCTCCCAACAGGTGGAAAATGCAAATGCAGATTCAGCCCGAAGCCCAGGTAAGGCGGTTCCTGCCTGCTCGCCTCTTGCAGAATAAACACTCTTCAGGGGGAAAGCGCCTCTCAAGTCTCCCCCAAGAGGCTAAGACTCAGGGTTCTGCCACGCCTATCTCTAAGGTTCATGGTTCATAGCTAATAATTCCCCAAAGGGTCCCAAATTCTGAAATGCTTTAGTTCCTGGAAAATAGCCAGGAAGCCAGGTCTGGCTGAGCAGAGACTCCTCTCACCTGAGGGAGAGGACAAACAGGGGTGGACGTGAATCTCACCACCTTTTTTCCCCCCTAGTCACCGGCCAGGGGATGCCCCACCTCTCATCACTCCAGGTAAGACAGGATCTGCGTGGACTGGGGGGAACAGGGGTCAAGGAGGGGCTGTGCACACACATGTACCCTGGGGACAAAGATCTCCATCCACCCCTCCAGGCTAATCCCATCCCCTCTCCTAGGCTCTGCCCACAACTGCTGAGGTTGGACCAGCTGAAGGAACACGAGGGCCTGTCTTTGTCCCCAAGTCCTGGCTGTCCACAGGAGCCTGAACTCCAGGGTAACATCCTCCCGCCCCTCCCCAGGCTGCCTTGCTGGGGCCTCGCCTCACGGCTCACGGGAGGGAGCTCTTTGTTCAATGTTTTAATACAAAACCGTCCGGCCTGCCGCCCGGGCAGCCTGCAGACTCACCATGTGTGCCTGGAGAGGGCGGTGCCTGGAGAGGGCGGTGCCTGGAGAGGGCGGGGTGGGGCGGGGCCTGGGGGAGGTGGCTGCGGGTTGGCAGGCAGCTGGTGGGTGGATCTTAGCTGGGAAAGCCTGTCCTCTGCTCTTTCTCATAGCCTGCTAGAGGGCACGGGGCCTGCTCTCTGCCTCCAGGCCGTGGGAGCCTTGTGTGCACTTTAAGATGTTCCAGTGTTAATGGGGGACACTTTGTGATGCAAGAGAGCCCTAACCCCTGGATGCTGGGCGCTCAGGTGAACACTGGGACCATCCCAGGAAAACAAGGATAAGGAATTATCCCACCACCAGGGAGTGCTCAATTTTATGATTGTAACAGTAAGACCCCTAGGGTCTCCTCACTGGAGAACTTTCCAAATGTCCCAATGAGACCTTTAAATGATTCCCTATAACACCCTTAATAGTATCTAATGGCCACACGATGTGAGAATCTTCTCTGAGCCTTAAACTCCCAGGAGTCTCCCCAGTATCCAACCTAAATGTTCCCACAAAATGCCCCAAACCCTTCAAAACATCCAAAAATATCTCCTACAATGCCCTGGGACATGACCTCTAAATAGAGACCGCAGTAAACTAGTGACCTGCCCTCTGATCACGCCCTTCTATCTCTTGAACATTCTATGAGCCCACTCTCCTTAGAGACCCCGTGAAGAGCCAAAATGCCTTCCCCCTGGCCATGACGGGACTCTAGGGTCACCCCCAGCCCCCATGCCATTCACAAGACCCCCTCTCCCAATGACCCCACAACAACGGGCAGGGTAGTTAGTGCCCAACGCATTTATTGAACTCGTACCTTCTGTCCTTTCCCCTGTCGCCCTTCGGGGAGGGGTACCCGCGCTTCAAGTGCACCTCTCCAATCCCAACTTCTCCCCCTCCCCACACCGCCCCCGCCTGCGCGCGCACGCGCAAGAGGAACGAAACGCGAGGTCACCGCCACTGGTAGCAGTCGTGCGCCTAAGCAGCTGAGAGAAGGAACGGATCTGGCAGGAAAAACTGCCCAGCAACTGTGACGTCACGGGGCCGGGCAGGACTCCATGAAAGCGATTGGCAGGATTGAATTTGGAAGGGAAAGGAATTCTGTCTTTGGAGCAGATTGGGTGGGAGTCGTTGAGGGAGAACTTCCAGACCTCTCGGGGCTCTGCGCATCCCCCCTTGACTTCGGTGTTTGGGCTCCAAGCAGTGCCCCAGCCCGAGCTTCCAAGTCACCAAGAGCGGGGCATCTCTCTCCCGCCAGATATTGCTTCCAACTGGGAGGGCAGTTCAGGCTGGGACTTCCATGTCTCCCAGTGGCAGTTCCTCCAAGAGGTGGGCTAGGGCTTGGACCTGGAGCTGATGAACTTGGCCTGTGGTCAGCATCTCACAGGTTTGGTCATTACCCCAAGTGGGGCCGGAAGGCCAGCTAACGGGTCATCCAGATGCCCAAGGCTCCCCACGCCAGCCCTCGGCCATGTCTAGAGTCCTGCCCAGTCTCAGGCACTCAGGTCCAGCTCATGATGCTGGTAGATCTGCGTGGGGCCCTTGAAGCAAGCCGCGAATAGGAAGCGTCTGCCCGCTAAGGTGACGTGGGCAAAGGCGCGGGGGGCCACCAAGGCAGGAGGCCCCAGCTCCTGCAGTGGCTCCAGGAGCCCCTTGTCGGGATCAAAGCGAAGCACCTGGCTGAAGGCAAAGTCGCTGCCTAGGATGGCCAGCTGGTCCCTGGCGATGAGCAGAGGCTGGAAGACGTGGGCGCCCCGGGAAGGGAGCTGGTGCAGCAGGCGAAACATGGAGCCGTCCCAGCGCATGACCTGGGGAGAAGGTGGCCAGTTAGGGCCTGGGGTCTTGGGAGGGGCAGGTCTTCCTGTGATCCTGAGGGTCTAGAGAACTTGGAACGCTTGGAAACAGGCCCGTAGGTCCTCAAATTCCCACAGCTGCTTAATCCTATCAGTGTGCGCCCAGCTGCTCGAGCTGCTAAGTTAGAGTTGTGAGCTATGAGCTGACCCTGCGCTTTCCCTCCGCCCCACACTGCACGGATCAGCAAGGCTACCTGTGAGTTTTAGCTACCATAGCTGTATATGCTGTCCACTCCTGTTAACGCACCTTGGCCGAGCCTCCACCCTCTCCAGCCTCCTTCCTGGGCCCTAGTTCCTGACCTCGTTTCCAGTCTGTTCCCCACCAGAGACCCTTGCTCTGGAAAGACAATGCTAGAGAGGAAGGGCAGGACCCACATCTACATCAGGCTCAAAGGAGCCTTGTCAGGATGCGGGGGACAGGGGCTGGGGCTAAAGTCAGTCCTGAAGGGTTCCAAGATGCAGAGCCAAATTTAGGGGGTAGAATCACAATCTTGGGGAGTGATTTGGACACAGATAGCCTTGAGGGGGCCACAGTCTTGCAGTCACCGTTGGGACAGAGTTCAAAGGCCAGTATGTGAGGCCAGATCAGTTTATAGCCCCCCCACCCCCCACCCCCCCGCACTGGGCTCAGCCTCACCATAGAGTCCCCGATGTATCGTGTCAGGCACAGGAACACATCCCCCCCAGCCTGGAAGTGACGTGTGGCATAGACATCCTCAGCCTCTGGGATGTCCGTGCGCCTCTCGAAGCGGCCACCGAACCAGTGGAAGAGCACCGGCCTCTGTGAGGCCGAGGCCAGCAGCAGATGGGGCCGGCCGTCTAGCTCCAGGGCCTCGGCGTCCGTGTCCCGGTGCCAGGCGTGCAGGCTCTGGCGTGGGTAGAAGCCGGGCCCGTCCCGACACAGCAGTGTGGTGCTGCCCGCTTTGGAGGCATCGGCCACCACGAAGCAGGGCTGCCCGTCCAGCCAGAGCAGCTCCGCGTCATTGGGCCTCAGCAGCCGCCGGGGGGCCAGTGCCTGCATCGGGGCCAGGCGCAGGTCGGGGCCCGGCCGTGCCCACAGCTGGGATCCTCCCCACAGTCGGGCAGCCAGCACGAAGAGGCGCGGGCCCAGCACCAGGGGCTTGCAGGACACCACGGAGGGCGCTGAGGGGGAGTAAGCAGGCTGTCAGGTCCAGGGACAGAGGGCCGGGTAGTCGGGGGACAGGGACAGGGCGAGCACTCACCCGGCAGCTCATCCTCCGTCCGGAAGCGCTGCAGGCCATAGTCCCAGGAGAGGATCAGGCAGCGGCCAGCGAAGGGCTGGGCCAGGATGATGTGGGGCTCCCCCTGGTAGGAGAAGGACTCCACGCCCAGCGCCGACTCCCCCACCATCTGGAACCAGGACAGCTCTGGGGGCGGCAGGAGAGAGTCAGGTAGGCCCGGGGACCCCAGGGTCCTCATTGCTGAGCCTTGATTTGCACAGCTCTGAAAGGAGGGCCCCATTCATGGCTTTCACCCACAGGGACATGGAGAGTGGAGTCCTCTTATCTATGGCAGGGTTAACTCGGGCTGCGTCCTGATTTTCTAAGCTCAGTGGCCTCATCAAATGATCCCTCGGAAATGGCTACTTAGTCATTCACTGGCCTTCACGACATTCCAGTGAGGTACACTCTGTTAGGATCCCTAGAGATGAAGCAATGGAGGTTCAATGGTCCAGGCAGCCTGCGGGCTGCCCAGCTGGAAGCCACATTATCCTGGCACCCCCCAGGAGCACTCTCCCTGGAGGTTAGGTGTGGTCATGTCAGGACCAAGTCCCGATGGACAGGAGCAGAAGCGTGATGCATGCTTCACTTGCGGGCGCAAACCTCATTCCCCTCCTTCTCGTGAGCTAGCACATGGAAGCGTCAAACCTGAGTTCAACCATGGAAACAAGGACAGCACCCAGAAGCTGCTGCACCCATCTGGGCAGCTCACCTCCGCTCACCTCCGCTCACCTCTTCAATTCGTGGTATTTCGGGCTTTTTGTTACAACCACTTAGCTTTAATGGTATCTGGCCTAGCAAGGTACTGGTCGTTAGTGGGTGCCATGCTGTGACTCCAGCATATACTAAGTCACCCTACACGTCCAGATCCCAGGTGCCAAAGTGGAAGCAGTGATGCCCATCCAAAGAGGGTTCCTATAAAAATGCCCATCAAATCATGTCCATGCCTGGGCCACATCCTCCATGGCTCCCCCCTGATCGTGCTCTCTGTGCCTTTTAAAGTCCTCCATGGTGGGGCCCCTGCCAGCTTTAACCTCGTCTCTAGTCTCTCCCTTCAGGCACCACCCGAGCCACACTGGCCTTTTGATCCTCAAACAGCTCTAGGCTGCCTCGGGGCCACCATTTATGCTATCCCCTCTCCACGCAGTGCCCTTCCCTCTCCTTTTCCAGTAGCTAAATTCAGATCTAGTGTCCATCTTCAGAGAAGGCTTCTCTGACTCCACTCTATAAGACAGAAAGAGCTCGCCTCCCTCACGACTCCCTGTGTGATCAGAATGTGTCATCTGTTTGTTTGCGCCATACTTTGGTGGATCTCACCAAGTATTCGTCGAATAACAGAATCAAGAGTGAACGATGGGCTGGGGGTGGGGCTCAGTACAGCGCTTGCCTAGCAGGTGGGAAGCCCTGGGTTGCATCCGAGGCACCCCCTTCCCCTTCAAAAATAATAATAAAAATCGCTGAGCTCAGCCCCCTTTCTCTGTGAGTCCCACTCACCACAAACATGTCTCACAGTAGATAATGTTACGATCACTGTTGTTATATTAATAGCATCTGTGTCAGGACACTTCAAATGTCCACTCCTTGAGGAAGCCCTTCCTGACTCCCGCTCAGCTCTGTGTGACCCCGGCCCTGGCTCTGGACTCCCTCAGTTCCCATGGCCTCGGTCCTGGCCTTGTTTCTCTGACTGTGCTCCCCCATCCCACCCCAGGCCCCTCTGCCTCCGACTGCCCGCCCTGGCCCTGATCATTCTGGGCGGTCACTGTGTGGGGCTGGGCGTGGGCTCTGGGAAGCCAAGACCCGGGCTGTCTTGTCCCTGCCGTGCTTTCTGCCTTGGCCAGTACCCACAGAGTCACCAAAATGTATTTATGGAAAAGCAAAAGGAAACAGAAGTGAGGGGATGTGGCATATGAAGTTTTTAGCACAATAGAAAGAAAATGTTGGGCTGGGGTATAGCTCAGGTGGTAGAGCGCTTGCCTCGAATGACAGGCCCTGGGTTCAAGCCCCAGCACCACCACCAAAAAAAGAAAGAAAGAAAGAAAAAAAGAAAGAAAGTGTTTTACAAGTAAGTGACTTTATATTAAGGACGATGAGAGTGATCATTTGAGAGCTCCTGCCCCAGGCCTTGGGTCCAGTGCTGGGTAGGTGGAGACATATCATGGAATCCTCGCAGCAATCCTATGTCACTGTTTATTATCCCCATTCTACAGACGAGAAGACTGAGGCTCAGGGTGGTGATGCCATGTGCTCGGGGTCTCGCAGCCAGGAAATGGCAGGGCAGGGAGAGAGGTCAGCTCCTCAGGCCGGCAGCCATTCCCCCGTCTCCTGCCTTCTCCTGGGAACCCTGCAGTCCCTCCCTCCCCACTGGGAAAGCCCCCACCTATGGCTCTGCACTTGAAGGTCTTTGGGTCGAGGTGGCGGAGCTGCATGTGAGTCAGGGCAGCGGGGCCTGCACAGGTCCCCGTCCCCACGCTGGCGTTCACGGTCGGCATCCACTGAAGCAGCCAAAGGATGCGGCAGTCGCACTGGAACGGGTTCCCACGGAGGTCCCTGGTGCAAGAGGCCAGGAAGGGGCTGCGACCCTCGGAGGCCACGTACCCTGTCCCCTCCCCTGGGGTCCCCAGATGGCATGGAAAATACGTCAGAACCATGGCAACCCTTGCCAACCCAGCCCCGCCTCCACAGCGCCAGGCCCCGCCCCCCAGCCCTCCCCCCACACACACCCCGGAGCCTCACACATGAGTCAGGGTTTCCAGGCCCCGGAACAGGAATCTGGGCAGGACCTCGAGGTGATTGTTGGCCAGGCTTCTGGAGGGGACAGAAGAAGGAGCCATCCGCAGCTGCCAGGAGGCGCTGTGTGGGGGTGGGGGTGTCGAGGTGGGGATGCCTTGGAGGAGCCGGGTGCCATGGAGGAGGAGGGGTGCCATGGAGGAGGAGGGGTGCCATGGAGGGGGGTGCCGTAGAGGAGGGTGGGGTGCCGCGGAGGAGGGGGTTCCCGTGGAGGGGGGTGCCGGGGAGGGGGTGCTGTGGAGGAGGCGGGACGGGCACGCACAGGTGTGTGAGCGAGCGGAGTCCGCGGAGCGCGTTCTTGGAGATGGAGCCGATCTCATTGTCCTCAATGAAGCTGTGGAGGGGAGGCAGGGTGAGGGGAGGCCCACGGGGCAGGGGACTCAGAGGCCACGCGGGTGCTGCATTCTCCCCAGCATCTCGGGCAATCCCAGGGAAAGCCTCCCCAGAAACCTGTCCCCCCTGAGGACCTGATCCACGGTCACCGGAGCCAGCCTCACCATGGACGCTGTCGCCATGGTCACCGACATCAGCACTGGTCCCACTATCATCCCTTATGACCAGTATTACAGTGCCTGCATCTCAACACCCATGACACCATCACCATCACCTACCCTACCACCAATAACTGCCATCGTCCCCAGCACCACACAGGCCACCAATATCGCCACACAACGTCCATCGTCAACGTCCATCATGGAACCCCAGGCAGAGGACACCAATGAACCTCACCAGCAACCAGGCTTCTCGACCAACACCCCACATCCTGCCACCACCCTCACCAACGCCGCCTCCATGATCCAGCATCAGCACCAGCGTCGCCATTATCCCCAACACTCTGGTCACGCACCGCCAGTGCCATCGCTGTCACAGCTTGTATACGTGACGACACCTGTGTCATCGGTGAAAACCCCAGTACCAACAACACTGTCATGGACACTGACGCCAGCGTCCTGCTCCAAGCCACCACTGACACCAACATCAGTGCGTACTGACCAGTGCCCATGGGCCTGGTGAGCGTCTCTAGCACTGCCCCGCAGGCTTTGATCATCAGTTCCACTAACAGAACCATCGCCACGAGGTTTGCCGTGTTTTGTCAACAGCACTGACACTCCGTCGTCAGTGACAAGGCCACCACTTCCACTGGTGACAGCAACGGCATCCCTCCCTTCACCACTGCCATCACCAATCAGTACGGCCATCACGCTGTCGCCAACTCCTTACTTGGAGCTGTTTCCTGCTCACTTATTTCCTCCCACTGGCATCCTCCCGAGTGCCCTCGAGTCAGGAGGGGCCAGAAACGGAGCCTGGCTATCTGGGTGCACAGAGAGCAGCCTGAGACGACACAGCTGATCTGGAGTCCTCACACGGCCCCAGGAGCAGGTCTGAGGGCCCTTGTCCAGACACCTCCTCTGCAGACCCACAGTCCCTACCGCCTCCGACTCTGGGTGCCACTAGAAGCCCCTGCTCCTCCTCCCAGCCCACCTGCCCCCAGCCCGGCCTCACTCACAGGTACTGCAGGTGGGACAACCCTGCAAATGCGTCATCCTCGATCACAGAGAAGGAGTTGGACGTGAAGAGGCTGCAGGGGGCGAGAAGGCGGTTGCCGGGGATCAGGACCCCTCTATGACGAGGACCCCTCTCTGACATTGTGGTCTTATCCCCCTCCATCAGCCCCATCAGGCACAGGAACACTCACATGCACGTGGGTGACTACGTGCAGGGACAGAGGGACTTTGACAGGGACACACGGGTGCGCACACACCCTCTCCTGTGCATGGACACCCCCGTGGCCACATGTGCCCACACCCCACACGCACGTGCAAGACGCCCACTCCCTCCCTGCCGCTCGGCTGGGCCCACTCACAGCAGGTGCAGGGACGGCACCCTCAGGAAGCTGCCGGCCTTCAGCTGGGTGACTCCAGTCCTCACGAGTGAGCTGGGGACGTGGCAGTGGCGGTGAGGAGAAAACCACTCCGACGCTCTGGTCCCCAACCCAGAGCCCACTGCTGTCCCGCGCCTTGGCCTGCACCTGACCCCGGGTGTGCTTCCCCTTTGGGCGGTGAGGGTCCTGGCAAGCGCTCAGCCCAGTCCCTGGCCATCCCTCCTTCCAGGTCCCCATACACCTCCTGCCCCATCAGCCCCTGGGCAGGCATCCCGACAGCCTCTGCTGCCCAGGATCAGGTGGGCCCCGCCTACCCCCCCGGCCCCTGGAGGCCCAGGATCCGGCGCCCACCTTGAGGCCCATGAGGGCCCGACACTCACAGTGACAGCAGCGTCGGGGAGAAGCTCTCTGGCAGGTCCTGGGAGCCCTCACACAGGGCGCTGTCTTTGGAGCAGGAGCAGCGTGGAGGACACTTGCCCTTTGGGGGCCTCCAGGCCACCCCCACCCCGGGCCCAGCCAGCAGCAGCAGCAGCAGCAGCAGCAGGAGGCCCGAGCGTCCCATGCCCCCTGCCCCCGGCCGAGGCACCACTTGTCTGGCGGCCAGCCTGGCCCAGGCCACTACATCTCCTCTGCCAGAGGCCCCTGCAGCTGCCTGCTGGGCTCCGCACTCTGACCTCGTCCTCGGTCCCTCGGCTGGCCCTTCTCCCTGGGTCCTGCGGTCTCTGACTTTCTGTGACTCTCTCTGCCTCTCCCTGTCTTTGTCTGTATCAGTCCATTGCCCACTTCCGTCCCTCCTTATGTCTTTGTGTGTGTGTCTGTCTGTCTCTGCAGGGCCCTGTCTTTCTGGTGGCCTATTGTCCCTCTGCCTGCTCCCTGCTTCTCCCTGAAGGTTTGGGGAAGGGACGTGCTGAGCAGGGTAGAGAGAAGGAGGGGGTCAGAGGCCATAGGAAGAGCGGCCTGGGGAAGGGACTGAAAGGCCTTTGGGAGGGGGTGGGGCCACCAAGGATGGAGCTGCCCTGGCCACTCCCAGCCAGCCCCCTCCCCAGAATCCCCCACTCAACCTCACCCAGGGACTGTGAGGAGGATGTCACCCGGGTGGGACTGAATGACCCGCCAGACTGGAGGGGGAGTGGAGGACAGGCCACTCCTGAGAGCTGGGGGAGGTCCTGGCCACTCCCAGCCAGCCCCCTTCTGGCCCCAGGAGGGCGTGGTGGTCCCTGTCACTGACGCCCAGAGGCAGCTCAGGTCCAGCTGCGCCCTCTGGTGGCCACACTTGGTAGGACAGTTGCCTTATCCCAAACCCAAGACCTCCCTGCCTCCCCCCCAATTAACCCTTTAGATACCCACCACCATTCCAGGCAGAGACTTGACCCATGGACATAACGAGGACAATGCCATCTCCTTTTAACACTTACTCTGCAACTAACCTCAACCTAAGAGTTCATCTACTACTTTCATCTGGCCCCAGCCCTCTGGGGTTAGTGCACAGCTAGAGGAACTGAGGACAGCGCTCAAGCAACCTGAGCTCTGGGTGTCCGAGTCAAGAGGCCGGACCAGGAGTCCAGCCCAGCTGGCAGCTAGCTCCATGTTGGATTCTGTCTTCAGAGATCCAAATTCCTGGGTATGTGGATAACAGATTGTTGTTAATTTGGACTAAGCTTTTAGTGATGTGGATAGAGTCTGTCCACTGATAAAGATTCATAAACGATACTTGTTGCCTAAGGGGACACAGCAAGGGTGTTCACTGAGCACTTACTATGTGCCGTTCCTTCCATGATTTGACTCAGCTCTCCCCGTAACCCTTCGAGGTGGGCAGGTTTGCTATCCCCACTTTACAGACAGGAAGACTGACCAACAGGGAGGGTGAGAGATCAGTGTCATGGTGCCAGGCTCCAAGCCTGACCGCCAGTCTGTACCACGGCCTGGCCTAGGACCAGGCAAGAGACTCACCCTGGTGACGGAGGGACAGACTTCCTCTCTTGCCCCTGGGGGGCGCACCCAGCAGTCTTGTTGAAGGACAGGGGCCTCGACAGCACCAGCCTAAGGTCACACAGTGGCCTCGGGGCCAGTCAGCTCACCTCCCGGCTCCTCATTTCTCCCATCTGTCAAGTGGGAACCTTCAGGACACCCACTTCCTACATGAGGAGAGGACTCAGAGACGGAGGCCACTCACCCTCCAGGGCTCAGCTCCAGGTGGGCGCCCCCCGTGGTGCAGGCTTGGGGAGAAGCTCTGGCTCCGTCTTGGTCCTGCGCTCGGTTTCCTTTGCTGAAAAGCAAATATGCTAGCCCTCACGACTGGGACTTGGAAAGTGCAGGTAAAGAGCTTGGTGCCAGGGACACACAGGGGACAAGGGCAGGCCTGCGCCCACACACAGTGTGCCAGCCCAGCTGGGCTCTCGCTCCACCTGAAGATGAGAAGAAGTGACATTGGCAACCATAACAACAGCTGACTATGTTTCTGTTGATCACTTACTATGTGCCCGGCTTTTTCTCGTTGTTCTACATGGTTATCCCAACTTCCCTCTGACACGAATATTATTATAGCCACAGAGAGGTTAAGTCATTTGCCCAATATCACACAGCTAGAAAGTGTCAAGGGAAGGAAGAAGAGAGGGAAGCTGGGCTGGCCAGCAGTGGGCCAGGTACCCGTCCCTATTGCCCCTTGCTCGCCTGTCCCTCCTCCTCGGTGCTGCATAAACACCAGGGTTATCATTAACCAGGGCTGGCTGATGACCTGGGATGCAGGGCCACGGGGGCAGAGGCTAAGAGGGCTCACAGGGCTGAGGGAGCCTTTTGAAGTCTCCTGGGTCCTCTGAAGCCAGGGGTGTGTGTATGTGTGTGTGAACACTCACGTGCGTGTGTCAGGGCTACACCTGTGCTGGGTGCGAGCACATGCTCCCGTCTTGCGGAGCCTGGTGAGGTCCCCGCTGGTGTCTGACTGCTTGAGGGTAGGGGCATTTCTGTCCTCAGCCGCCAGGGGTCCTCAGGAGAATTAGCTCCACTGCCTTGGTTTTCTTTATCTGTAAAGTGGAGTTGAAGATGAGACATGTCAGGTCCAGAAACCTCTGAGCCTGCAGAGAAGGTGAGGTGGAAGACCTTAGTGGTTTCACCATTTGGTATGTGGGAAATTGAGGCACAGAGAGGTCATAGGGAGGCCCAAAGTCACACAGCTAGGAGTGCAGCCTAGACCTGACTCCAGGTTTCTCTGTCCTCAGGGTCTGTGAACCTGGCCTGCCCATGAGGACACCAGAGGACATGCTCTCAGGGAAAGGACAGTTCAGGATGAAGCACGTGGCTGTGGTTTTGGAGTATGTGAGCACAGTGTGTCTGCAAACACGCGGAGCCAGCAGTCCACCCTACAGCCCCTGTGTGGGCTGTGCACACTGTGTGCATCTGTGCTGGCCGCGTGGAGGAGTGGCTGGCCGTATGGCAGGTCCTTGGCCATCTGCTTCCCTGTGAGCCCATGGAAATGAGGTGTGTGTGGACCCAAGTCTATGGGCCTTCAGGTCTTGGTTACGTGTGCTGTGTGTGTGCTGGTGTGTCGCTGTAAGTCCATTTGGGAGAGTGTCCTCACAAGGTGCGGATCTCTGTTTCCCTTTGTGCCAGCGGACAGAGGTGTGGCTGTGTCTTGACTGTGTCTTGACTCTGTCTCTTTGCGGTGTCACGTGGATGGTGTGCGTCTGCGCCCGTGTTTGTTGGGGTGTTCAGGGGCGGCTGTAGGAGGTGCTGGCTGGGGTGTGTGTCCGTGGGTTTCTCCATGGCTGTGTGTTGTGTGGGGTGTGTGTCCTGGAGCAGCTCACAGTCGCCAGCACACAGCACCCACACACGCACTCACAAACATGCAAGCAAAGCCCCCCCTCCACCGTCCTGTGGCACTGTCAGGGACAATACAGGCGTTGGGTCAGGGGGCACAGGCTCCTAAGCACTGGGACTGAGTGACCCTGGTCCCCGCTGGGCCCGATTCCCAGGAAGCAGCACAGAGATCCCTGTCTGGCCCCAGCTCTGTGCCAGAAGCTCCATGCCACATGTGAATGTGTGTGTGCACGTGTGTCTGTGTCTGTGAGCCCGTGCAGTCCCCCTGCCGGCCGCCTGCTGCTCCCTCCTCTGAGTTGAGAGAGTTAACCTAGCGGCTAGTGCGGTCTGGGCTGGGGGCCGCCCCCTGGCCCCCCTCCAGCCCCGGCTCCAGTTACAGCCAGGGGAGGGCGGGGTGGGGCCAGGAGGGGAGCCTGCGGGGGGCGGAGCGTCCAGCTCTGGGCCCGGGGGTCCAAAGTGCTCAGCCCCCAGGGCACAGCCGGACATTTGGGGGCCTTCTTTCAGCAGGGGACAGCCTGATTGGGGTGAGCGTCCCCCACCCCTCCCCTCCAGACGTCTTCACACTCCCACCGGCCGGGCGGCCTATTTTGGGAGCAGGAGTGGCCAGCCGGGTGGCTTCCCAGGCAGGCCGTATTCCAGAGGGAGGAGAGTGTGGGGACCTTGGGGTTCCGCAGGCTGGGAGCCGCTTGAGCCCCCTGGCTGGGTGTGGCGTCTGCTTGGAACACTGTCGGGGGCCCTGGGGGCCTGGAGGAGGAAGGGGGGGTGCGTGAGGTTGTCTACATCCCACATTCTTCCCACCAGCAGCTGGGAGGGTGTTGTCCATCTCCAGGGCAGCGCCACCCACCGTGTGTGTGCCTGCCCCTGGTCGCTGTCTTCTCTCAGGCCCACTAGCTTGGGCCTCATGTCACTTGTCTGGTGTTGACTGGTTATGAAAGATGTCACCCAGGGGCGGGTGGAACGGGTGTTTCTCCCTCTTCTGCTGGTTTCCAGGAGAGGACAAGGGGTGGCCTCACTGTGTGGCGATGTGGCCGCCAGGCCTCGCCCCACCAGGACTGTGCGTGACCCCCAAGTGGGGGGGTGGAAGGCGGTTTCCATGGTGGCCTTGTGAGGCGGATTCTTCCAGGGTGAAGTGGGAGATATTTATACCCAGGGTCAGGCTGAGAGCGGACAGAGCGGGCAGGCGCAGAGGGCAGGGACGCGGGCTGGGCTGGTTCTGGAGGCCGTGGTGCGCAGGCAGGTGGGACTGGGGTGTGTCCCACTGTCTTGCAGAGTGTCTGTCTCTCCACCGGGGTGAGGCCGAATCCTGCCTCCCCTGTGAGGGTAGATTTGAGGAATCTGGGGCCAGCTGCGGGGAGGCAGAGGCTCTGCCCTGGCCGGGTTGGACTCTGTTTGTGTGAGCTGCTTTGGTGGCACGGCCTGGTGAAGCAGGGGGTGCCACTAAGCTAGCTGACTGGCACTTTTGTGATGAAGTCCCTGACGGTCTCTGACTTAACCCTGTGGGTTCAGGCCCCCGTATGGGGAGGATGAGGGTACACGTTTCCTGGCCCTTTTGTGCCCTCAGGACAATGGCATCTGTCGGCCACATCTTGCTTCTCTGCGTGGGTCTTCTTGCCAGAGCCAATGCAGGTGAGTCACGGGGGCAGCCCACTGCTCACCCCAGCCTCTCGAATGACCCGGGTGGCAGAAACCTAGAGAGAAACAAGTGGGAGACCCCTACCGAAATGGACTCAGCTAGAGTTCCAGGAAACTGGGGATCTCCTGCTTGGGGTCCACTCACAGGCTGGCACTGGAGGAAGGGAGAGGGTGGATACCCCGGGTCAGGCAAAGGTGGGGAGGGATGGGGGTTGGCTCCCCCCAAGATTGACAGGCTGTAGTACAGGGGGGTGCTGGGACAGCGACAGAAACCCCCTGCCCAGTACAGAACAGAGGGGGTGGGTGTCTAGGGCCCAGAGTGGGTGGGCAATCTGCCCAGGTCCAACAGCCCCCCAACTCTCAGCCCAGGAAGGTGGAGCCCCCACAGGGTCTTTTGACGCCTCTCCCTGTTCAGAGTCCTGGGAAGCATCCAAACCCGGATCTCTCTCTCTCTCTCTCTTTGCAGAAGCGCCACAGGAACACGACCCATTCACCTATGGTGAGGGGCGGCATCTATTCCGGGAGTCAGAGGGCTGCCGGGCCATGCCTGTCCTCTCTGCTCCTCTCCCTGGCTCGGTGGGATCCCTCTCCGGGTCTCAGGCCCCTCGGCTGCTGCCTCGGGCCCTTTCTCCCACTCCTCTTCTCCTTCCTCCTCCCTGCCCTGCCCCCTGCTCTCCTTCTCTCTCCCCCGCTCTCCCCGCCCCCCCCCCCGCATCCTCACCCTGTTCCCTGCCGCCCTCAGACTACCAATCCCTGCGGATCGGAGGCCTCACCATCGCCGGAATCCTCTTCATCCTGGGCATCCTCATCATTCTCAGTGAGTGCGGCGCCTCGCCCCGCCCACGCCCCCCCCCGGCCCCGCCCACACCCCGCCCTGACCCCGCCCCTGCCTGCGCGGCCCCGCCCCTTACCCAGGCCAGCTGCTGCCAGAACGCAGTTGGGCTGGGCGCCCGCGTGGGGGGGGGACGCAATCTGTCTCTGCGACCCTCTCCCCACCCCCACAGGCAAGAGATGCCGATGCAAGTTCAACCAGCAACAGAGGTAAGAAGGCCCTCCCAGCCCCCACTCGCCCCTCGCCTGCTCTCAGAGGGGCGCTGGGGGTGAGACGGCAAGTCTTGCCAACCCGAAGCCAGGAACCCCTCAAAGAATATGTGCGAAGCACCTCCCGTGTGCCAAGCCCCCAACCAAGTCCTGGGACCAAGCGATGAGTAAACGTCCTGACTTGCTTGGTCAAGCCCCGGCCCAGTGAAGGCGCTGGGTGGCGGTGGTTCCAAGAGCCCCACCGATTCCAATCACCAGCACGAAATCAAAAGTGCTGATAGAGAGCGAGCCGCGGTGAAATGAGATCATCTCACACGGCGGCCCAGTTTAGCTCAGAGTCTTCTTCCTTGCGCTTTGATTCATCTTTAAATAAAAAGTTTAAAGCACAACCAACATAGGAATACCATGGAACGATCACCTTCGTGTTAAAACAATGATGGATGTCACTACAAGTAAGAACGAATACGTATTAACTGTTACACCACGTGCCAGACGCTCTTTCCTTGCATATTATTTTATTTGGCCCTGTTACCAGCCCCCATTGTACAGATGATTGAACCGAGGTCTAGGGAGATAAAGTCACTTATTCAAGCTCACTCACTGGGAGATAAGGATTCTGGGGTTTCCAACTCAGATCACCTCCTGGCAGTCTACCAAGTTCCTCTGACCACCCCTCCCCCTCAACTTCAAGTCCCTTCCCCAGCATCCCCGGTGGTACTCACTGTTACCTGTTTGGACCGCCTTCTGCCATACAAACTGCTCCTGGGTGCTCCTCCTTTCGGGGCGTACCCCGAGCTCGCTCGTTGGGGTACGTGGGACTCCGTGAAGTCTGGGAGATGAGGCCTTCATTGGGGGTTTTCTGGAAGCCACTGCCTCCCCTTTTCCATCCTGTGCCCCCCCACCCCTTGCTCTCCCTTCCCAGAACTGGGGAACCCGATGAAGAGGAGGGAACTTTCCGCAGCTCCATCCGCCGTGAGTTTGGGGAGACTGCGGGTGTTTGGGGGTGAAAGCTGGTTCCAAGAGCCGTTTTCCTGGCCCTCTCTGGCAGCATAAAGGGAGAACTTGAGCTGAAGCCAGTGGGCAGGGAGTTGCCCTTCCTCCTCAGGGACGCCCCTCCTGACACCCCAACTTTCTGTGTCCCCGTCAGGTCTGTCCACCCGCAGGCGGTAGAAACACCTGGTGCCATGGAACTCGGCCAGGTCCTGCAGCGCCGCCTGGGCTTGGGGAGTGGGCACGGGAGGGAGGAAGAGGGGGTGATGTACCAGCCTGGGCAGTGGCTAAGAGGGGGAGGAGGAGAGGGCTTGAGGTCCTTCCTCGCCTCTCACCCTTTTCCCCCCACAGGATTCCCCTAGCACCTGATGCGTTCCACCCACCTCCTGCTCACCTGCCACCTAGACTGCCCCCTTTCCCAGCCCTGCCTCACTGAGTCCCCAAGCCTCTCAGATTTCCAATAAAACGTGCTTTTCTCTCTTGACGGCGCTTTGTTGATCTGTCAGTCCCTCTGCGCCGAAGCCTGGGAGCCCCCTTGGCCCCGGCAGGGGGCGCCCCCACCCTTGGGGAAGGGGCGGGGACGACGACAGTGGGCGGGGGCGGGGGCGGGGGTGGCCTGGACGGGGGCGGGCTCCCCGGGCCCCCATTGGCTACAGGCCCCCCCAACACCAGGGCTCCCCCCATCTCCCCCCCACATCAGCCTGTCCTGCTTCCAGCTGCTGCAGCCGTGTCCTCGCTGCCTCAGCATCCAGCAGCCCCCTGCTCTGGCTCAGCATGGCGACCCCAACCCAGACCCCCACGAACGGTGAGCGTCGCCCCGGGGAGTGGGCGCCGGGGAGGCTCCGGGATCTGAGAGCTTAGGAGAGAGGATGTGGGAAGATTCCGGCCCTGAAAGGGAAAGGAGCGAAGAGGGGATGGGCGGAGGCCCCTGTCGCGCACCCCTTGGCCCTCCTTGTGGTGTCTCGGACACCTGCTCCCCTGCGATATCGTCCCTGTGCCGGACCTACGATGAGAGAGTGCCAATCCCCGGAGAAAGGATGCTCGGACCGGTTGCTATGGCAACTGGCTGACTGGTCCAGCACAGTGGTGGAAGCAGACGGGAAGAGATGGGCTTTGAGGGTGAGAAGCAGCAGGTCTGTGGCCAGGGAGGTTCTGGAAGATTTCAGGACCCTGGATTGGCAGGGAGAAAGGGTCCATGTCCCTTTTCTTTCCAGCACCGTCTCCTACCGTAGGTGTTTCCTGAAATTCCTGACAGGCAGGTTCAGAGGGAAGGAGGGTCAGCTGAAAAAGAGAGAAGGGAAGGGGGAAATCCATCTGAGATTGAACCTAAAACAGATAGAAGAGTCACAGAGTCAGAGACATGGGGGGACGGGCAGATAGGTTCGAGGCTCCGAGAGGCTCAGGGAGAATGCAGGAAAAAGAGAGGGAGAGGAAGTCAGAGAGACACAGAGATAGACGGATGGAGACAGCCATGCACAGGGACTCGAGACACCGAGCCACAGGCAGAGGAATAGAAAGGGGGGGCAGCATGGGGTGGGGCTGCAACCACTGCAGTGAACCCCAAGGGTGGGACTAGGGTGAGGGGACCCTCCTTCCCAGCGCGCACCTACTTGTGGTTTCCATCCTCAGAGGTGCACATCGCTGTTCCCCCACACCCATGTCCCCCGACACCGTGCAGCCGCGCACAGTTACATTTCACACCCGTTAACCCAGATATGCTCCCACTTAAACTGCGTCCTCACTCCAGCCCCGAGCAACCCCCCTGCCGAGCCTCGGTCTGCAGAAGACCAAGGGGGGGGGTGCTTTAGTGGGGGAGGGGGCCTGGGAAGTGTTTCCAGTACGGAAGGCAGGGCGGAGGCGGAGGAGCCCCTGGCGGTGAAGGGAACCCCAATTCCACCCGGTTCTCTCCTTCCCTTCCCCCTTTCCCATCAGGCAGGGGCTGCTGCGCTGAGCCATATCTGCAGAATCTGAAGCAGGGCGGGGGGGGGGGGGCTGCAGAGGCTGGAGCCACCCTAGGGAGAGGGGGCGGGGCTGAGCCAGCAAGTCTGGCGGGAGCCCAGGGTTTCTTTTTGCAGAGGTGGCGGTTAGCAGGATCGATGGCAGCAGACGGGCAGAGGTGGGAGGGCAGACGCCTCAACACCCTCCCCCTTCCCCCCCTCCCCCGCCCGCTGGTCACAGCATGAGAGGGGACCACAGGTCTCCGGAATTCCCTGGGGAGGAAAAAAACCCCCGCTGTGTATTGCAAACTGCTTGAGGAAATGAATTAATGAATTGCTGGGGAGAGCAGGGGGAGGGAGAGGAGTCTCTTCCCACTCTGTCAGAGAAAAGGAAGGAGAATTAGAGGCAACAGAAAAGGGGGATGTGTGAGCACAACTGAGAGGGACCCTCAACTTGGCCAGAAGCCAGCCCTGCAGGGGCATTAAAGGGAGATGCAAAGGAGGAGAGGGAGTTAAAATTTGGCCCAACCTCCAAGCTTCACACAGGACCTCAGCCAGCCTGGAGGACCCGGACCCATCACCTCTCAAGATGCCCCTGTTGCCATAGCAACCGCCTCCTTCCTGATCTCTCCTTGGCAACTGGCCAGGAGTAGTGCACATTCCTTCTCCGTCTCCTGGCTCCACCCTGAGCCCAGCCACACCCTGGGGAACCAGATTGCTGGGCCAGCAGGATCCAGCCCAGGATCTTCTGCATGAAGCACTGTGCACTCAGGTGCAAAGCAAAGAGGATTTGGGAACAGATGCTCACCCCAAGGGTCCCTGAGCACTTTGGAGGAGGATGCTTGGAAAACTGGGAGACAAAAGAAGATAATCCAACTGTTCCACCTTGATTCGGACTCCTGCAGCCTAGGAGGGCCTGGCATTCCTTCATTTGTTCCAGAAAACTTCTTTGAGAACCTTACCTAAGTGACAGGATTAACAGCAGAGATGAGCGAAACAAATCGACTCACTCTGGTCCAGGAGCTAAAGTGACTCAAGGTGACTAAAACACTGTGTCCTGATGGGAGACACTTTGAAGTACCACCTTCCAGATTTTTGACTTATTCAAATGTTCCCCACAGTGCTATTTATTTAATATTTTTTTTCCTTGGAAGGATTCACTTTTTTAAAAAATTAATTAGCATCATTTTATATCATCACCACAAATGGAAAATGAGTTTTTGGTTTTTTTTGTTTTTGTTTTTTGTTTTTGCTCTAAATGGAGAGTAAACATACAAACAATCTAAAAAGCAAGTGACATTGCTTCTCTGGGTCCAGTGTCTCCTTTTTGTGAAATGGAGACGAAGATAGCACCCTATGGGAAAGTTCCTGCCAAGATTAAATGTGTCAACATCTGTAAAGGGCTTAGAAGTGGCTCTGGCATGGAGTTAGTGCTATCCACTTCTGACTAGATCGCTAAATAAAAGGAGGAAACTCGATAATGTCACAAAATTCTACTAGATATGATTATTACCTGACAAAGACTCTGAGCACAGTTTTGTTTTTTTGGTTTTTTTTGGGGGGTAAGAGGGGGATTAACAAGGTTTGGTAGGCAACTAAAGCCACATCAGCACCAATGAAGATTTCCTCCTTGGAGACTAGAAGAGACCTGGAAGGAGCAAACTTACACACTGAGTCAGGGTCTTGCCTCTGTTTCCTGTACCTGTCACTTTAGGCAACAGCTTGCTTTGATAAAAAGCAGTACCAAAAGTGTCAGCAGATGGTGACGGTGATGACCATCTGCTGAGATTTTTATTTCTCACTTAGGCTCCATGTCCATCACAGGTTGACCGGGGTGGGGGGCATTTTGTACTCACCTAAAAAAAAACTAGAGCAGCCACTACTATCTTGAACATTCAGGTCCTCAGGCCACAGGCAAACCAGAGCTCTTTACAATGGTCATTGAAATGTTCCAGCCTACAAGTGACACTTCCGCTCACAGTTCATGGGCCAGAATTCATCCCACGGCTCCAACCCACCTCAAGGGAGACATCCTTCCCTGTCCCTTCAAAGGGGGAAAAGAACACTCCTGACATGGCCTGATGTACCCCTGGCCCCCTTCCCTAGTGGCACACACGCTGCAGAATTCTGCTCCAGGAGGGGCCATCCGGATGGAAATGGAAAGATGTTCTGAGCTCCCCCCAGGGGAATCTGGTCTGGGACAGGGAGATGGAGAGGGAAAGGCAGATTCCCATCCCCACGTTAACATCCCTGAAGTCAGGGCAAGTCTTCTAACTGAGGTGCATGCTTCCTGTGGTAGAGATCCATAGGCATACGCGTCCTGGGACACCGTCACAAAATCGACTTTGGATTGTAAACTGGCTGGTGTCTTAAGTGATATAGAATAACAACGGCATAGCTCCCTGTAATGGATTTGGTGTCAGGAGCTAGGAGATGGGGACCATAGCGGTAGCACCTATCCTTGGGAGCGCTNTCTTCATCCTGGGCATCCTCATCATTCTCAGTGAGTGCGGCGCCTCGCCCCGCCCACGCCCCGCCCCGGCCCCGCCCACACCCCGCCCTGACCCCGCCCCTGCCTGCGCGGCCCCGCCCCTTACCCAGGCCAGCTGCTGCCAGAACGCAGTTGGGCTGGGCGCCCGCGTGGGGGGGGGACGCAATCTGTCTCTGCGACCCTCTCCCCACCCCCACAGGCAAGAGATGCCGATGCAAGTTCAACCAGCAACAGAGGTAAGAAGGCCCTCCCAGCCCCCACTCGCCCCTCGCCTGCTCTCAGAGGGGCGCTGGGGGTGAGACGGCAAGTCTTGCCAACCCGAAGCCAGGAACCCCTCAAAGAATATGTGCGAAGCACCTCCCGTGTGCCAAGCCCCCAACCAAGTCCTGGGACCAAGCGATGAGTAAACGTCCTGACTTGCTTGGTCAAGCCCCGGCCCAGTGAAGGCGCTGGGTGGCGGTGGTTCCAAGAGCCCCACCGATTCCAATCACCAGCACGAAATCAAAAGTGCTGATAGAGAGCGAGCCGCGGTGAAATGAGATCATCTCACACGGCGGCCCAGTTTAGCTCAGAGTCTTCTTCCTTGCGCTTTGATTCATCTTTAAATAAAAAGTTTAAAGCACAACCAACATAGGAATACCATGGAACGATCACCTTCGTGTTAAAACAATGATGGATGTCACTACAAGTAAGAACGAATACGTATTAACTGTTACACCACGTGCCAGACGCTCTTTCCTTGCATATTATTTTATTTGGCCCTGTTACCAGCCCCCATTGTACAGATGATTGAACCGAGGTCTAGGGAGATAAAGTCACTTATTCAAGCTCACTCACTGGGAGATAAGGATTCTGGGGTTTCCAACTCAGATCACCTCCTGGCAGTCTACCAAGTTCCTCTGACCACCCCTCCCCCTCAACTTCAAGTCCCTTCCCCAGCATCCCCGGTGGTACTCACTGTTACCTGTTTGGACCGCCTTCTGCCATACAAACTGCTCCTGGGTGCTCCTCCTTTCGGGGCGTACCCCGAGCTCGCTCGTTGGGGTACGTGGGACTCCGTGAAGTCTGGGAGATGAGGCCTTCATTGGGGGTTTTCTGGAAGCCACTGCCTCCCCTTTTCCATCCTGTGCCCCCCCACCCCTTGCTCTCCCTTCCCAGAACTGGGGAACCCGATGAAGAGGAGGGAACTTTCCGCAGCTCCATCCGCCGTGAGTTTGGGGAGACTGCGGGTGTTTGGGGGTGAAAGCTGGTTCCAAGAGCCGTTTTCCTGGCCCTCTCTGGCAGCATAAAGGGAGAACTTGAGCTGAAGCCAGTGGGCAGGGAGTTGCCCTTCCTCCTCAGGGACGCCCCTCCTGACACCCCAACTTTCTGTGTCCCCGTCAGGTCTGTCCACCCGCAGGCGGTAGAAACACCTGGTGCCATGGAACTCGGCCAGGTCCTGCAGCGCCGCCTGGGCTTGGGGAGTGGGCACGGGAGGGAGGAAGAGGGGGTGATGTACCAGCCTGGGCAGTGGCTAAGAGGGGGAGGAGGAGAGGGCTTGAGGTCCTTCCTCGCCTCTCACCCTTTTCCCCCCACAGGATTCCCCTAGCACCTGATGCGTTCCACCCACCTCCTGCTCACCTGCCACCTAGACTGCCCCCTTTCCCAGCCCTGCCTCACTGAGTCCCCAAGCCTCTCAGATTTCCAATAAAACGTGCTTTTCTCTCTTGACGGCGCTTTGTTGATCTGTCAGTCCCTCTGCGCCGAAGCCTGGGAGCCCCCTTGGCCCCGGCAGGGGGCGCCCCCACCCTTGGGGAAGGGGCGGGGACGACGACAGTGGGCGGGGGCGGGGGCGGGGGTGGCCTGGACGGGGGCGGGCTCCCCGGGCCCCCATTGGCTACAGGCCCCCCCAACACCAGGGCTCCCCCCATCTCCCCCCCACATCAGCCTGTCCTGCTTCCAGCTGCTGCAGCCGTGTCCTCGCTGCCTCAGCATCCAGCAGCCCCCTGCTCTGGCTCAGCATGGCGACCCCAACCCAGACCCCCACGAACGGTGAGCGTCGCCCCGGGGAGTGGGCGCCGGGGAGGCTCCGGGATCTGAGAGCTTAGGAGAGAGGATGTGGGAAGATTCCGGCCCTGAAAGGGAAAGGAGCGAAGAGGGGATGGGCGGAGGCCCCTGTCGCGCACCCCTTGGCCCTCCTTGTGGTGTCTCGGACACCTGCTCCCCTGCGATATCGTCCCTGTGCCGGACCTACGATGAGAGAGTGCCAATCCCCGGAGAAAGGATGCTCGGACCGGTTGCTATGGCAACTGGCTGACTGGTCCAGCACAGTGGTGGAAGCAGACGGGAAGAGATGGGCTTTGAGGGTGAGAAGCAGCAGGTCTGTGGCCAGGGAGGTTCTGGAAGATTTCAGGACCCTGGATTGGCAGGGAGAAAGGGTCCATGTCCCTTTTCTTTCCAGCACCGTCTCCTACCGTAGGTGTTTCCTGAAATTCCTGACAGGCAGGTTCAGAGGGAAGGAGGGTCAGCTGAAAAAGAGAGAAGGGAAGGGGGAAATCCATCTGAGATTGAACCTAAAACAGATAGAAGAGTCACAGAGTCAGAGACATGGGGGGACGGGCAGATAGGTTCGAGGCTCCGAGAGGCTCAGGGAGAATGCAGGAAAAAGAGAGGGAGAGGAAGTCAGAGAGACACAGAGATAGACGGATGGAGACAGCCATGCACAGGGACTCGAGACACCGAGCCACAGGCAGAGGAATAGAAAGGGGGGGCAGCATGGGGTGGGGCTGCAACCACTGCAGTGAACCCCAAGGGTGGGACTAGGGTGAGGGGACCCTCCTTCCCAGCGCGCACCTACTTGTGGTTTCCATCCTCAGAGGTGCACATCGCTGTTCCCCCACACCCATGTCCCCCGACACCGTGCAGCCGCGCACAGTTACATTTCACACCCGTTAACCCAGATATGCTCCCACTTAAACTGCGTCCTCACTCCAGCCCCGAGCAACCCCCCTGCCGAGCCTCGGTCTGCAGAAGACCAAGGGGGGGGGTGCTTTAGTGGGGGAGGGGGCCTGGGAAGTGTTTCCAGTACGGAAGGCAGGGCGGAGGCGGAGGAGCCCCTGGCGGTGAAGGGAACCCCAATTCCACCCGGTTCTCTCCTTCCCTTCCCCCTTTCCCATCAGGCAGGGGCTGCTGCGCTGAGCCATATCTGCAGAATCTGAAGCAGGGCGGGGGGGGGGGGGCTGCAGAGGCTGGAGCCACCCTAGGGAGAGGGGGCGGGGCTGAGCCAGCAAGTCTGGCGGGAGCCCAGGGTTTCTTTTTGCAGAGGTGGCGGTTAGCAGGATCGATGGCAGCAGACGGGCAGAGGTGGGAGGGCAGACGCCTCAACACCCTCCCCCTTCCCCCCCTCCCCCGCCCGCTGGTCACAGCATGAGAGGGGACCACAGGTCTCCGGAATTCCCTGGGGAGGAAAAAAACCCCCGCTGTGTATTGCAAACTGCTTGAGGAAATGAATTAATGAATTGCTGGGGAGAGCAGGGGGAGGGAGAGGAGTCTCTTCCCACTCTGTCAGAGAAAAGGAAGGAGAATTAGAGGCAACAGAAAAGGGGGATGTGTGAGCACAACTGAGAGGGACCCTCAACTTGGCCAGAAGCCAGCCCTGCAGGGGCATTAAAGGGAGATGCAAAGGAGGAGAGGGAGTTAAAATTTGGCCCAACCTCCAAGCTTCACACAGGACCTCAGCCAGCCTGGAGGACCCGGACCCATCACCTCTCAAGATGCCCCTGTTGCCATAGCAACCGCCTCCTTCCTGATCTCTCCTTGGCAACTGGCCAGGAGTAGTGCACATTCCTTCTCCGTCTCCTGGCTCCACCCTGAGCCCAGCCACACCCTGGGGAACCAGATTGCTGGGCCAGCAGGATCCAGCCCAGGATCTTCTGCATGAAGCACTGTGCACTCAGGTGCAAAGCAAAGAGGATTTGGGAACAGATGCTCACCCCAAGGGTCCCTGAGCACTTTGGAGGAGGATGCTTGGAAAACTGGGAGACAAAAGAAGATAATCCAACTGTTCCACCTTGATTCGGACTCCTGCAGCCTAGGAGGGCCTGGCATTCCTTCATTTGTTCCAGAAAACTTCTTTGAGAACCTTACCTAAGTGACAGGATTAACAGCAGAGATGAGCGAAACAAATCGACTCACTCTGGTCCAGGAGCTAAAGTGACTCAAGGTGACTAAAACACTGTGTCCTGATGGGAGACACTTTGAAGTACCACCTTCCAGATTTTTGACTTATTCAAATGTTCCCCACAGTGCTATTTATTTAATATTTTTTTTCCTTGGAAGGATTCACTTTTTTAAAAAATTAATTAGCATCATTTTATATCATCACCACAAATGGAAAATGAGTTTTTGGTTTTTTTTGTTTTTGTTTTTTGTTTTTGCTCTAAATGGAGAGTAAACATACAAACAATCTAAAAAGCAAGTGACATTGCTTCTCTGGGTCCAGTGTCTCCTTTTTGTGAAATGGAGACGAAGATAGCACCCTATGGGAAAGTTCCTGCCAAGATTAAATGTGTCAACATCTGTAAAGGGCTTAGAAGTGGCTCTGGCATGGAGTTAGTGCTATCCACTTCTGACTAGATCGCTAAATAAAAGGAGGAAACTCGATAATGTCACAAAATTCTACTAGATATGATTATTACCTGACAAAGACTCTGAGCACAGTTTTGTTTTTTTGGTTTTTTTTGGGGGGTAAGAGGGGGATTAACAAGGTTTGGTAGGCAACTAAAGCCACATCAGCACCAATGAAGATTTCCTCCTTGGAGACTAGAAGAGACCTGGAAGGAGCAAACTTACACACTGAGTCAGGGTCTTGCCTCTGTTTCCTGTACCTGTCACTTTAGGCAACAGCTTGCTTTGATAAAAAGCAGTACCAAAAGTGTCAGCAGATGGTGACGGTGATGACCATCTGCTGAGATTTTTATTTCTCACTTAGGCTCCATGTCCATCACAGGTTGACCGGGGTGGGGGGCATTTTGTACTCACCTAAAAAAAAACTAGAGCAGCCACTACTATCTTGAACATTCAGGTCCTCAGGCCACAGGCAAACCAGAGCTCTTTACAATGGTCATTGAAATGTTCCAGCCTACAAGTGACACTTCCGCTCACAGTTCATGGGCCAGAATTCATCCCACGGCTCCAACCCACCTCAAGGGAGACATCCTTCCCTGTCCCTTCAAAGGGGGAAAAGAACACTCCTGACATGGCCTGATGTACCCCTGGCCCCCTTCCCTAGTGGCACACACGCTGCAGAATTCTGCTCCAGGAGGGGCCATCCGGATGGAAATGGAAAGATGTTCTGAGCTCCCCCCAGGGGAATCTGGTCTGGGACAGGGAGATGGAGAGGGAAAGGCAGATTCCCATCCCCACGTTAACATCCCTGAAGTCAGGGCAAGTCTTCTAACTGAGGTGCATGCTTCCTGTGGTAGAGATCCATAGGCATACGCGTCCTGGGACACCGTCACAAAATCGACTTTGGATTGTAAACTGGCTGGTGTCTTAAGTGATATAGAATAACAACGGCATAGCTCCCTGTAATGGATTTGGTGTCAGGAGCTAGGAGATGGGGACCATAGCGGTAGCACCTATCCTTGGGAGCGCTTGGTGACTGGGAAGTTGTCCGAAAAGCCCACGCGGCCCGGGGCCGAGCAGCCTGCAGCAGTAATGGATTTGGTGTCAGGAGCCAGGAGATGGGGACCATAGCGGTAGCACCTATCCTTGGGAGCGCTTGGTGACTGGGAAGTTGTAGGCTGTGTACAGGGGAAGCTGATAGCCCAGTGGTCTGCCAGTGGCATGGTTGACCCTGGGCTTCATATTTAAATGGGAGTGTGTGTATTTTTCGGGGAGTCAGTCCATAGCTTGCCCCAGATCTCCATAGGGGTCTAGGACAGCGACGGCCATGTACAGTTGGGTGGATGGTACACTGCACAGGGGATGGGACCAAACGATGGAATGAGTGGGGGTCGGCATCTATCCTATGCCCCATTCTTCAGGCCTGTGTCCTGCCCTGGAGCTACATAATCCAGAACAAGGGACCTTTTCATCTAATTTCCACTCAAAAACCATTAGACCAATGGCCCCAACGAGGTCTTCGGAAATGTTGAGGAACAAGCATTGAAATACTTTCCCCCTCTTCCTTCCCACAGTTCCCGAGGAGCCCGACCCATTTTATTATGGTGAGTGCCAGATTTTTTTCATAGTGGTACCCAGGGCTGGATGGAGGGGTGGCTGTGTGTGTCCCTACAGCCAGTTGGCTTCAGCCATGGCTCTGTGGTTCATGGGCCACCAACCCATGTGACCAGGTGGGTACAGTTCACAGCAGCTGGGTTTGTGGAGGGCAGAACCAGATGAGGGTGGTTCTGAGTCTCCTTCAGGCTTCCGCAGGACTCTGAGCTGGTCCCTCGAAGTTATCAGAGCAGCAGACGGGATGTCTTCATAGTAAGGACTAAGTCCAGGTCACCTGGATCGGACTCTCCTCTCCCTACCGTGTGGCTTTGCCTCCCTGAGCCCTTCTGTAAACGGGAGATAGTAATAACTCCCACCTGCGTGGGCTATGGGAAGGATTCACCTGGACAATCACACTGATGGCCCTGGGGCACAAAGAAGTCACCCCCAGGTCTGGCAGGCCTGGCTCCAGTTCCCTTTCTGTATACCCTCCTGATCTCCCCTCCCTGCCACCATTTTTGCTGTTCCTCCAATATGTCAATTTCCTTCTCACCACAGGGCCTTTGCACGTACCGGTCCTTCTGCCAGGAGGACTCGTCCCCTAGCTCTCCACATAGCTGGCCAAGTCCCCTTCCCTTTTTCTGGCCTCTGATCAAATAATGACTGCTCTGTAGGACAGGCCTCCTCTGACTCCCTGGCAGAAGGAGCCACACCACACCCTGCCATGACTTGGATTTTTACTGGATGGTTTTGTTTGGTTGGTTCATTGATGAGTGCTTAATCAAGCATGAGCGTCCCCTGCTGGAGGGCAGAGGCCTGGCCGCTGCGGGGATGGACCAGGGGCCCCACAAATTCACACTTCAGCCAATATTTGCTGGTTACTGGCTCTGTGTGGGCAATGTTCCAGGCCCTTGGAGGACTGCAGTGAGCAATACAGCCAAGGCTTCCTGCCCTCCTTGACCCTGCCCTCCGTGGGAGGGAGACGGACACTCAAAAATCAAAGTCATTTTTTAGACAGGAATATAAAGCCAGAGTGTTTCTTACAGAGGGAAACCAGAATTCCATCATTTACTAGAAAGGGTCGAGGAGAGGCTGGGGAAATTCTAAACAGGACAACCAGAGGTTTCACTGACATTCCTGAAGCTTGGAGGGAGGAAGCCCTGTGGATATTCAGAGGGAGGGTTTTCCAAGTAGGGGAACAGCAAGTGTAAAGGCCCTGAGGCAGGACAACCGGATCTACTCCAGGAGCTACAGGGAAGCCAGCATGGCGGGGGTGAAGAACTGAGGAGGAACAGGATGGGATCATGCAGGGTCTCCAGGGCTGTGGTGAGCCTTGGCTTTTACCTGGAGAGCCCTGGGGGCCAGGGGAAGGCTGAGGAGAGCTGGGATCTGACTCTGTGCCTGTGGGTGGGTTGGGGGCAGAGAGAAGGCGACACAGAGGGTGAGGGCAGGAGAGGAGAGGAGGGGAGGGAGGCCCAGGGGAGCTCCCCAAGCCCATGCTCTGTGTTCCCCCAATCTCCTGGAGGAGCATCCAGCACCCCCGGGTTCCAGGCCCCTGGCTGGGCGGCCTAAACCCAGGCCCGAGGGGCTGGGGTGTGTCCCCTGCATGCCCTGACGTCCCGCATCTCCCCTAGACTATGCCACCGTGCAGACCGTGGGCATGACTCTGGCCACCATCATGTTCGTGCTGGGCATCATCATCATCCTCAGTAAGTCTGTCCTCCGTGGGCTGCCTGCTGCCCCGGGTTAGCCTTTGTCCCCATCCTTATGTCCTGTGTCCTGTCTGTGTCGCTCCCTCTCCTAACAGGCAAGAAGGTGAAGTGCAGGAAGGCGGACTCCAGGTCGGAGAGGTCTGGCCCCTTCCCCGCGGGTGGGCGTGTTGTGGCGGGTGGGGGCGTGGCAGACTGGTGGGCGTGGCGTGGCGGACGGGGGCGTGGCAGACTGGTGGGCGTGGCGTGGCGGACGGGGGCGTGACAGACTGGTGGGCGTGGCGTGGCGGACGGGGGCGGGGCGGGATGGTGGGCGGGGCGGGAGAGGGCGTGGCCGAGGCCGGGGCTGCAGGTCCTCCTCACGCTCCTCCCTCTCCCTTTGCCTCCACAGCCCAACATGCAAATCCTGTAAGTCGGAGCTCCCCTCCTCAGGTGAGGCCGCGGGAGGCTGTTGAGTGACAGCAGCCAGAGAAGTCCTTGTAAGGTCCCGGGGTGGGGCCTGGTGGTCGCACCTGGGACAGTCCCATAGGAGACTGGGTCTCTGAGATGGCAGATGCTAGACCACAGGGGTCCGTGGGACTCCCTGTGTCCTAAAGGGGCCACAAAAAACTGCCAGAAACAAACGCATAGTCCCCCAAAGCAAGGAGGAGCTCATTTCCCAGGGAAGAAAGCCACACCCGCAAAGAGAGGGACCCCAGGTGGGGGAGGATTTCAGGCCATAGACCTGAAGGAAGTCAGAGCACGGGGAAGGTAAGAGAATAGAATGCGGTCCAGACTTACTTGTTCAGCTGGGCAGACCTAGGATGAAATGACTCAGGAAAAGATGGGAAAGGAAGGAAAGAGAAGGAGGGAGGAGAGAGGATGGGTTTGGGAATAATTGTATCAAATGACAAAAAGAGCTGTGGAGGTGGGTGGCACTAGCCTGCAATCCCAGCAGCTCAGGAGGCCCAGGCAGGAGGATCAAAAGTTAGAGGCCAGCCTCAGCAGCTTAGCTAGGCCCTGAGCAACTTAGTGAGACATGTCTCAAAATGAAAAAAAAAAAAAAAAAGAAGAAGAAGAAGAAGGGCTGGGGAGGTGGCTCAGTGGTTAAGCGCCCGTTGGTTCAATTCCCAGTACAAAAAATGAAAAGAAAAATTCACTGGGGGGAGGGGGGGAAGACCTGTGGGATTGGGCACATGAGGCTGAAGGAGAAAGACAGGCGGATGGAAGAGGGGTAAATCATGAAGAGGATGGAGGCATCCGAGGGTGTGGGGTGTCAGGAAGGGGGAGTATAGGAAGGAGAAGATGAGGGGAGGCCCCGGGGGAGAGAGAGAAGTGGAGGCTGGAGGCTGGAGGCTGGAGGAGGGGTGCTGTGAGTGGAGGTGGATGGAAGGTGGAAGGGGAGATGGGGAGGGGTGGAGGATGATGAGGGAGATAAACATGCAGATGGAAGAGTGTGACCCCTTGGGGTGTTAATTTTAATTATATAAAAATATCTTGACCTGTTTTTAGTGGAATCGCGTCCTTTCCAGGGACTGTTAAAAAAAAAAAATTCAGAGCTGGGAATCTCTCTGCCTCTTAAAAAATTCTTAGAACTAAAAGAAGGGGAGGGGCTTGGAAGATCCCATGTTGGGAGGGAATTATTGCGGGTAGGATTTCATGCCTGTTTCATGTTCTGTTAATGATACTTAAGAGCATCGGTAGCCTGCTCTGTGGACACCGGTGTCGCAGGGTGTCTGGGCCCTGGTACCTGGGGAATAATGTAAGAACCCTGCAGGACACTGACCCGGAGTAGGTGGGAACTGGGGACATTCCTGTTGCATCCAAATGTTGGGGATGCGGGGTACAGGAGCGGAGCGAGCGTGTAGGAGGAGAATGGGGGTGTAGAAGGGGTGGGACTCCCTGCTGGTAGGGGGACTCCCCACAAAAGCTCAGGTTAGCTTTGACAGCCACGAAGGTGTCCCCGTAGGGATCAGATATTAGGGTGTGGGGGGGGGGGAGTGGGGAGGGGCGGGGGTGCCAGGTCGGGGTGAGAATCCTGGGGGTCTGACTTCCATGGTGACGGTCGATGGGGGCCCCCTGGCTCTGGCCGTGGGAAGGGTGACCTCCCCCAGTCTACACTCGCTGCGACCCCCAGTCCCCCTGCCCGTCCCCTGCTAACTCGGCCCCTTCTCTTCCCAGCCCCTGGCGGCGGCGGCGTGTAAGAGCAGCCCCGGGAGCCTCCACAGCTGTCCCTGCCTGCGCGCGGGCGCCTGAGGACCGGGTGAAGGCGGTGAGGACCCCAGCCTCACGCCGGGGAGCGCTCCCCCGAATGAGCCGCCCCACCCACCCCAAGGCTGGAGCCGCTGCACCCCGCTGCCCCTCCCCAGGCCTTGGCAATGACGATCCCCCAAAGAGCCCGTCTGCATCCCAGCCCCAGGGACTCAGGCCTCCAGCTCCTGGGATCCGGGAGTCCACCCCAGCGCCCCCCAACCCCCGTGTGCCGCCCCCCTGCGCCTCCTCGTCTCCTCCCCGGGGATCCGCTCCCCGGGGCCCCTCGACGTCCACGTCTCGAGCTTAATAAATGTGCACTTGGTGTCCCCTGTTCTGTCTGCGTGTCCTCATCTGTGGGCGCACGAGGTGGGGCTGAGCGCACCTGGGCCAGCTGTCCCCTGCGCGCCTACAGGGGTCCCCCTGCGCCCCACCCCCGGCCCCAGACACCTCCTCCTCCGCCTCGCACCCTCCCTCACACCCCGGGAGGGGCCGTCCAGGTCCTCCCGCCTCTACCAGACGCCCCACCCACCCGCGCGACCTGCCAGCCCCTGTCCCGCAGCTGGTCCCGCATCTGGTCCCGCATCGGTCCCCGCGCGAGGCCAGCGCGGGTGGGCGGAGACCCGGCCCCGCCGCCCACCCAGCCCCACGTCGCCCTGAGCCTGCCCCTCCTGCTCCCACCCGGCTCTGAAGTCAGGAAACCCAAGAGGAAATGACTGGGCCTCTCGGTCCCCGCCCGCCCGCGCTCCCCTGGCCACACCCTCCGCCCGGACGCCTCTCCCGCCGCGGTCCTCGTCCTCAGGCTGCGGGCTCCCGACCCCCGGCGCTGACGTAAGTCCCTCCTTCGATCCACCTCCAGCCGCTGCCCCTCTGCCCAGCGCCGGGCTCAGGTGGGTAGCAGACCGGCCTGGCGGTGCCTCCCCGCGTCCCGTTCACGCCTTCGCTTCTCACCTCCTCTCCCAGCGAGACGCCCGCTCCCTCCTCCCCTCCGGCCTCAGTCTCCCCAGCTCGCCTCCATCGCCCGCAGACCGGTCCCTCTCAGATCCCCCCAGCACTCGGTCGCCCGGGCCGCAGCGCAGCCCAACACCAACTCACTTTTTCCCCTGCGGATCAGGAGGCATTACTCACTCTTCCTCTTTCCACTACTTGCGCGCTCCTGGGCCTCAGAGAGTGGCCCCATCACCCTGCCCCAGACCCTGGCCTGCCCTGCGCCTTTGCCATCCATTCCAGTGAGGATCGCTGCCGGCCTGGAGACGCACGGAGGGGCTTCTCTGCTCTGGGGGTGTCCCTGTGCCCTGTGTGCTGCTGGGACACCAGGTTGGCCGGGTGCTTCTTGCTTTCTTTGGAGGGTGTCGCTTGGTACTTCCACGTTCCAGATCCTCCCACTTCTCCCAGTGGCTGCTGTCAGCCAGGGGTCCTGGAAGCCAGGGGTCCTGATCCAGGGTGAGAACGGGGCTGCCCCGCAGGACGTGCTTCTCTGACCCCGGTTCCCACTCACCCCGTAGATGTCGCCCGCTGGCCGCCTGTGTCTCCTCACCGTCCTCAGCCTCTTTCTCCCCACCAGAGGTAAGACCCTGCCCTGGAGCCCCCAGTGTGCTGCTGGGTGGGTGGGTGGCCCGAGAGTGTGGCTGCTCTCTCCTGTCACCTCATGGTGCCCCCTCCCCTGAGTTGGCATCAGGAAGTAGAGATCCCTGGGCACTCTGGGGTTACACCTTCTTTGGGCACCTCAGACCTGGGTGGTTGCTTCCAGAGAGTCTGGCCAGAGTCGGTCCTGCTGAGCATCCTCCACCTCACCTCCAAGAAGAACTCGCTGAGTTTGATTTGGCCTGGAGATTGGTATCCGTTTTCTATTTGGCAGCCAGAAAACCTGGGCTCCCAGTAAAGCAGATCCCTGGTCCCCTAACAATGAGCTGCCAGGCAAAGGGGTCATGCTGGGGCCAGGAGAACACAGCCTTGCCTGAGAAGGGTCTCCAGGGCAGTAGCCATGGCCGATGCTTCCTGTGTGGCAGGTGCTTGCACCTGGGCTGATGGAGGCCTTACTTCTACTCTACTTATACATGTTGCTGTGCCCCGTTTATGGATGGGGAAACTGAGGCACAGTGGGCAGAAGTGCCTTGTCTAGTGGGTGGAGGACCTGGGGTTGCCACGGCCCCGCCGCTGCCAGAATCCAGATCATTTGCTTCACCAAAGGAGCCCCGCTTCTCCTGGATGATCATGTATTCTTCCAACCACACCACAGCCATTTGTTGAGCACTTACTGTGTGCCAGGTCTTCTATGCATGGAGGGAATGGCTGTGAGTGCAACAAGACATGGCATGCAGGCTTCTGGGGGCAAAGACAGACAATAACCGGCCAATCAGTAAATTGTATGATGTGCTGGGAGGTGACAGTGCCCTGGGGAAAAGAGAGGAGGGTGCTAAGGCGTTAAAAAGTGGATGGAGTGGAGGCTGAGGCAGGAGGATGGCAAGTTCAAAGCCAACCTGAGCCACAGGTTGAGGTTGGAGAGAGGAGAGGGGAGGTCATGGAGAGGCGAGGTCAGGTGCTGGAAGAGCAGGGGGAGCCGTGCAGGTTTCTGGGGATGAACATTCTCTGGGGAGTTTGGGAGAAGCAGGAAGAGCCAGTGGCCGGGTTGGGGTGAGCAGAGGCGGAGTTGCTAGAAGAGCTCAGGGGGTGCTGGGGGGCTGGGGGGAGTGGAGAATGACGGGCCAGGTGAGGGCTTTGGCTCTTACCCAGAGTGAGGTGCAGGGCTCGGGCTGAGGGGCACACACAGCTGTACAGATGGACTCAGGAGGTCCCCGGCTCCCCCTGACTGTGGGTGGGAACAGACTGTAGGAGCAGGAGCCAGGGAGAGTCTCCTGTGACATCTAGGTCACAGGAGGAGGGGATGTTGGATAATAGAGGTCACCCAGGGAGGGGCAGAGGCTGGAGCCGGGCAAGGGCAGAGGACACGTGTAGTGCCAGCTTCATGCAGGCGGTGGGGGGCACCTGCCTGGCGCCGTCTCATTCCTTGCAGCCCCGTGAGGCAGATCTCACTATTGTCCCCACCCTGCAGCGTAGACCCCTGAGGGTTTGCTGGTTCTAAGTCACACAGCAACGAGGCGTTGGGAGTCCTGAATCCAGGGCCCTGTGCCTCTAGCCCCTGGCTCACTAGAGCGTCCCAGAAGCCTGGGTGAGGAGTCGGGGTGGAGGAGGGTCCTGGGACATTGGCACAGCTTGAAAACGTCCAGGAGCCACAGCTGGATGGCTCTTCCAGCACCCAGGACCTCTGGAGCCGGCCCCAAGGTCTGGGAAGGTCAGGCAGGGTGGAAGCAAAGATGAGAAAAGGGGGACCCGAGGTTCCCTTCTGACCTCTCCTTGGTCCCCCAGGACAGACGTTGGAAGAGACCGCATCCATTTCTACAGTGGACCCAACTATTTTGGGCACCCATGGCCCGACGCAAGTCCCAGGTGAGGAAAGAGGGACAGATCGGTCAACACCCCATCAGTGCCAATAACCCCAGCAACACAAATCTCAAACTTAGACCAAGTAGGAATTTATGGATTCATGTGACTCAAAAGACTAAGGATAGACCTTCAGGCATGGCTTGGTCTAGGTGCTCAAATGTTGCCATCGAGAACTTACCTCTTGGTTCTGTTTTCTCTGGGTTGGCTCCATTCTCCTTCAGCTCATCTTCTTACGGGCCAACATGGCCCTGAGAGGACCGCTAAGAATCCAAAGACAAGAGAATTCCCACCTCCCCAATCTACCAGATGTCCCAGAACTGTCATTGGGCAGACTCAGGGCATGTGCCCAACTAGGAGCCGATCATCATGGCTGCAGGCACAGGAAGCTGACTGGTGGGCCTGGGTCCCCTGGTCAACGGCCACCATGACTGATGGCAGCACCTCTGAAAAAAGTGGTCCAAAAGTCCGGGAAGGATGGTCCCCAAAGAAAGTTCCAGGGGGCTTTGATGGAGGCAGCTGGGTGCTGGTTGGCGGTCGGAGGTATTTGGGAAATTTCTTGAGACCGGACCTCGGAGTCCCAATCAAGCCAACTAGCAGCATTCGTCCCCTGAAGGACCACTCGGGTGGCTGGTGCAGGAGGAGGGGTGCTGGGATCCGGGGAGACCCGGGCACCTCCAAAGCACTGCAGGGGGCTCAGACGCAGTTGCTGCGGGAACCGGATCTGGCTCCTGGCCTCCTCCACTCCTCCTCCTCTTCCGCTCTGACTCCTGCTTTCCTAACTCCAGGTTCAGTCCACCCGGAAGTCCAGTCCACCCCTCAGACCTGGATCCAGCCGACTGAAGGTGAGTGACTGGAGACAGGGGCCCTTCACCGCGCAGCCACGTCCCCAGCACCCCCCTTTTATTTTCCCTGAGCCGGTCTCCCTCTGTGGCTGAGGTTGGCCTTGAACTTGCCATCCTCCTGCCTCAGCCTCCCGTCCATCCACTTTTTAAAGACAAAACAAAGGGAACTTGGGACATTGTGAAGTCTTACGGGTACTAAGCAAAGCACCCACCCAGAGAGGTACGCCGTGGCCACTCACCCCAGCTGAACCCCTGCATGACTTCCCGGGCAGACCAAAGAACAGAGCCCCACCAGGGCCCCACAGACGCTYCCTGTGCGCCAACCTATTCATTTCTTCTATTCCTCTCTTTATCTATTTTTTAAAAATTTTCGAATACTATTTTCTTGAAGTATAACATAATTCAAAGAGGGCCCCTGAATTTTTTCAGTGAATGATTATTGACACGTAGTACCTAAACACATCATCCTTGGAAAGAATAAAAATAGAGGACGTGAGACTAAATCCCTTTGCCAACTTGCCCCAACCCGTCCCAACCCGTCCTTGATCTTTTTCCATCTCTGGGAGGCCCCACAGTTAACGTTAGGGGTGATTCCCCRATCCTATGATATCACATGGAAATTACTGCAGAAAATATACTGTTGGTGGTGTATTTCTATGAGTTAAAGGATATCGCATGAATGTCCTGCAACTTGCTTTGTCTTTTTTTGTGGCAGGGAGTATTGGGGATTGAACTCAGGGGCATTGAGCCACATCCTCAGCCCTATTTTGTATTTTATTTGGAGACAGGGTCTCACTGAGTTGCTTAGCGCCTCATCATTGCTGAGGCTGGCTTTGAACTCGCGATCCTCCTTCTCAGCCTCCTGAGCTGCTGGGATTACAGGCGTGCACCACCGTACCCAGCCTTGCTTTGTCTTTTTTAAGCAATAGTATGTTTGGAAGTTGTTCTCACATCGTAAAAACTCATGCTGCCCTTCTTCTCTGCTGTCTAGTATTCCAGTGTGCCGGGGCTGCAGTGAATATAGGCACACACCTCCCGATGCTCACATTGTTTGCTCCCGTTTTTTCTGCCAYACACGGTGTCACAATGAGCAGCCTTGTCTCTTACCTTTGAGCAAACACAGCACTTACATGCACCATCCTCACTGAACCCTGAGATAGAATCTGCCATTATCTCCACCTTACCGATAATGAWACAGAGGCTCAGAGCAACTTGCTCAAGGTCTCACAGCAAGACAGACCCACAGCTGAGGTTGGAGTCCAGAAATCTGGCTCCAGAGCCAGGGCTTTGATCCAGGATGCTATGGAGTAAAGGTCATGAACATTTAAATTTGTTTTAAAAGTTGCATCCTCAAATGGCCACACCATTGGCTGCATGCAGAGACAGCTCCCCTTGCCTGGCCCCACAGTGACACTCTATATTGACACCTTTGATTTGTGCCAAATTGATGGAGGGAAGGAGATACAGTTCTATAGACCTGCACGGTCGAGGGCTCACTGAGGTCTTCCTCCCTTTCTCTCCCTCCCTCCCTCCTCCTCCTCTCTCTTTCCTTCCTTTCTTTCTTTCGTACTGGGGATTGAACCCAGGGGTGCTTAACCACTGAGCCACATAGGCATTGCTAAGCTGCTGAGGCTGGCCTCAAACTTGTGATCCTCCTGCCTCGGCCTCCTGAGCTGCTGGGATTAAAGGCATGGGCCACCACACCCGGCTCACTCAGTTCTTATCCTCCCCTCTTTGTTCTTCTGACCTGAGTAGAAACAACACAAAGCCAGAACAGGATGGAGACCCAGAAGCCGACAGGAATGGACATGACAGACCCAGGGACAGGAATGGATGTGACAGACCCAGGGACGCTCACGAGCAGCCAGGAAGGTAGAGCCCKGGACTGGGAGCAGCAACTTCCAGCTCTTGCTTAATTCCCTATCTAGGTCAGCGTCTCCCCCGGTACGAGTCTCAAGCACCTGTTTGGGGAATTGCTAATTAATTTTAAGGAAAAGAAAAAATTTCTTTTTTTTKGGGGGGGGGTGTGTAGTCAAAGATATTTAGGGAACTCTGAGTTAAATTTAAACACGGATCTTGATGGCAAGACTTCTCAGCACCTCCATAAAAGCTCATTTGCACCAAACGTCCCGTGAGGCAGCCTCTGGAAGGCAGCATTTCCCCAAAACAGTGGAGCTGGTGACCCTCCTTTGTGCACCCCCTCACAGGCTGGTGCTGGGATATGACTGTCTGTCGATGCTCCCTTTGTGTGCACTCTCCCCCTGTGAGGGAAGGAACTTTTCAGTTGCAAAATATAGAACACCCAATTAAAACAAAGAGGTTTATTAGCTAAGTAAGTTCTATGAAATCTGGAGGTCAACAGTTTCAGGCATAGCTGGATCAAGGGGCTTAAGCACGGTCATTAAGACTGAATTGCTCCTGCTCTTGACTGTGTTGTCCTCCTCCTTTTTTTTTTTCCTTTTGGTCTCATAATTTGGTATCTACAGAGAATTTCTTTCTCCTTAACTCCAGCCAAAAGCCCAGAATTGACCCTCATTCAGATTAGGGTTAGGGTTAGGGTTAGCCTAGGCCACTCGGGCTGAGAGGCACGCACAGTGGTACAGATTGAGCATTGCACAAGAGCACCACCTCCCGGGCCACCTCATTTCCCTTGTYCATCTTCATAAAGATTCTGATTTCCTAGTGGTGACAGTAGAGCATCTCATTCCTACAGAATCTATGGAAACACTTTCACCAGAGACGAAAATAAAGTCTCTTGGGAAAGGAAGCTTTTCCATTTTGCACCAAAGGGCCCCTCTGGGAGACCGCAGCTGCGCCTGCATTTCCCAGCTGATGATTTAATTTACTCTGGAGTCTTCGCGGGGCTGGGTTCCTCCGGGTATCAGTCCTCCACCCTGGGACATGGGACAGAAGTCAGCAGCAACGACGGGGTCATCAAGCTCAGGGGTGAAGGGTGCTCCTGAGCCTCAGGGTTGCCCAGGGCCTCCCCCTCCTCCGTCCTGGCCTCTCCCTCTTGCCGGGCACCTCGTGGGGACATGGCTTCTGCCCKCGTCCAGCCCCCAGCTTCCTAGCTCCCCTGGTGACTTAGTCTGCTTTGGTGGCCGTGACAAAGGATGACAGGCTGGRGGGCCTGAGCCGCAGGAATTTCTCTTTCACGGTCCTGGAGGCGGGAGTCCCAGATGGAGGTGGCAGCAGGGTCCGTGGGGGTCACAGATGGCCACCTTCTTGCCGTGTCTTTYCCAGGTCTGCGCAGGTGGAAGCCAGCGGCCTCCGGTCCCACCCTCGGGGACCTCATCAAACCCTAATCACCTCCCAGAGGCCGCACTGCCTCGACMTTGGGGGTCAGGGGCTTGCTGTCCCTCAGAGTCATCACTCCCAGGGAGGAACCAGATGGGGGTCCCCTAGTCAAACCCAGGTCACCAGCAGGCACGGGTCAGGACAGTGGGACTAGATGGAGGGGGAGGGGGCTCTCTATGGCTCACGTCTTCCCCTGGACCAGGCTTTCCCCAGGATCCCCTCATCATCGGTCAGGCCTTGTTGAAGGGKCGAGGTGCTGAAAAGCTGGGGGAACCCTGGGGTGGTGGGTGCTTCCTAGAGCCAGGGTGGGGGCTGGGGGTGTGGCTCAGCGGTAGAGCACTTGCCTCGCACGTGGGAGGCACTGGGTTCGACGAGTCTCAGCACCATGTAAAAATAATACACAAAATAAAGGTGCTGGGTCCATATGTAACTAGGGTGGGGACGCAGACCTTTTCTTTGGGGGATCGACTTTTTGTGTCTGAGAACCCACTGGACTCTGGGGGATGTTGGAGATGGGGTTGTGCGTGCAGGGTGGCTGAGCCAGGGTCCTGGGCTATCACAGGGCTGCCAGTGCCTCGAGGGGGGTCCTTTATCCTGCTCAGGAGGGTGTCACCCACCTGAGAAGACAAGTCAGAAATGATCAGGGAAGAAATAAGACGCAGACTCAGAAAAGTAGTTTTGAAGCAGAGCACCTGACAGGTCCAGCCCCTCGGAAGCCGGAGCCACACAGTTGGAGAGTGGCTCCGTTCATTCATTTAAAGGGGACGTCAAAGGCAGGGCCAAGGCTTCAGGGGTGGGGGTCTTGCCTCATGGTGTCTTCARGGGGTTGGGGCAGCTGCTTTTGACCAGCAGGTGCAGACCGCTGCTATGGTCCCTGCAGGTGGAGGGTGGGACACCTGTGCCCCTACACCAGGTGCAGAGACTGGGGGAGAGCTTTCTCCCCATCTGGGGCCTGCAGTGATGTCCATCTGTCTGTCTCCCACCAAAGGCACCACAGAGCTCCCTGGGAGGCCATCCCCAAGCAAAGACGTCATGATGGACCCCCTGACCCCCAGCTCCTCAGGTCAGTAACTCCCTTCCCAGACCAGTTACCATGCATTTCCTGTCTCTAAAGCGAGCTCAGGACAGAGGCGTCCTCAGTACACACCTGTGGGGGTAGTGAATGACTCCCAGCCTGGGCGGGGGAGGGGGGGGCACGGTCATGTCTGAACCTATGGATGAAGGTGTGTGCATCCAAACTACGCCAAAACGCAGTGGCTGAAAAGGCAATCGCTTATTTAGCTCCCGATGGTGCAATTTGGGAGACAGGCTGGGCTCAGCCGGGTGGTTCTTCTGGTCTCCGCTGAGCTTGCTCACGTGACTGAGATCAGTTGCGGGTCCGCAGGAAGCTCTGGTTCCTGGCAATCTTGTCCTCCACTTCCTGCCCACTCAACCCACGTGGAAAGGCTGAGCCCACTCAGCCCATCCCTCTGTTAATTCAGCAGAGGTTCATTGAGAAACCTGTGTGTGGCAGGCACCGTTCTGGGAATAAGACAGACAGAATCTCCGCCTCAGGGGGCTGACATTCTGGGGGCGGGGGAAGACAGCAAATGATAACTGTAATAATACATAGCAGGTGGTTTTACTTTGCTATCCAGAAAAATAAAGCAGGTTCAGGGGAAAACTGAGGGCACTCAGAGAGGTGGTGGGAGCCAGATCGTGTGCCTGGTGAGGACTGTGGGTTTCATTGCGAGGACAGWCAGGCTGAGTGAGAGACGCAGGTGGATCTGCTCCCTGACTCTGCCATTCATTCTTCACTCCACAAGCTTCCGCCAGACTCTCACGTGTGCCTTGTCCGTCTCTTCCAGGTTCGGATGAGGACGACCCCTTCTACTACGGTAAGTCGCCCTGGGACGGTGTGGGAGAAGGAAAGCCAGAGGCCCCTCTGATGGTCCACCTCCACTTCTCTCTCTGTAGATGAGGCCACTCTCCGGAGGCGGGGACTCCTGGTGGCAGCTGTGCTGTTCATCACGGGCATTGTCATCCTCACCAGTGAGCATGGGGCGTGGGCAGGAGGGCACCAAGACGGGCTGGGGGAGGCTTTGACCTGCACTGCACCTGAAGGTCAGGTTCCTGAAGGTCCCTGGAAATGGCTGCTCCGGACCAGGCAGCTCTCTGAGCCTCCCCGTGAGCAAGGCGTAGAGATGAGCGTCTGTTTGGCTCCCGTGGCTGCCACTGGGCAATGTGGGCTGGGCTCAGCTGGGCGGTTCTTCTGGCTGTGGCTGAATTGACCCATGCATGTGGTGCCCATTTACTGGGAGCTGGGAGCAGTGTTTCTAGGGGCCTCTTGATCCTTCACCTYGTGTTCTTAGACTCCATGAGGTGACGGCTTGCAGGCTCAGAACTGGCCACTGTCACTTCTGCCACATTCTGTGGATCAAAGCATGTCACAAGGGCTGGCTTCATTGAGAGGTCAGAAAATAGACTTCCCTTCTTTATGGGAGGGAGAGACAGAGTCAGATTGCAGGGAAGAGGGATGTAGAGAGGGAGGGTTAGGAAACTGGGGCCATTTAGTCAACATAGCCATGCACAGRCCTGGAAGGGAACAAGGGGTGAACAAGACTGGGTAGGGAGAAGGTGGAGGAGGACCAGATGACCCCCAAAGCAACCACAGCCACCCAGTGGAACTAGAATAGGGGCCTGGAGCTGCAGAGTAGTGACCTTTTCAAGAGCTTATTGTTTCCGTAAAATCTTCCCATGCTTACCCGTTGGCAGCTGTGACAGTCAGGGTCATGACAGGTGACAGATGGACCCTCACAAGGTTAACTGAAGGTTTAAAAGAAGAGATACTCATCTATTTTCCTTTGCTGTAACAAAATACCTGAGTGGGGGTACTTACAAAGAAAAGGGGTTTATTTATATCACAGTTTTAGAGGCTGAGTCCCAGATCAGGCAGCCCCATGGGTTTGGCCTCTGGTGAGGGCCACTCGGCTGCATCCCATCATGGTGGACAGTCTCATGATGGGAGTGTGGGTGAGGGGAGAGATCACGTGATAGAACAGGAAGTGAGGGTGGGAGGGCCCTTCTCGTCTCTTTATTACAACCCACTCTCTCCCCGAGAGATCAGTGTCACTTCACCCCTTCTGAAGGTGACACCCCCAGGGACCCACCTCTTAAAGGTCCCGCAGCCTCTCAATACTGGCTCACCAAGGACCGAGCTTCTGACACATGAACCTTCCCAGGGACACCTCGGAACATGTCCAAAGCACACAGCAAGGGACTCCGGCAGRAGCAGTAGCCCCGGGGAGAGGGCCCAGCCACGGCCTCCCTGTAACAGGTGGAGGGACGCGGCAACCCCCTCCCCCCGTCCTCTTGTCCTACCTTCTGCTAGTGCTGAGGTCGAGGGTGCCAGGCCCCGGGGAGGTGGCCTGTCACATGTGCCTCCTGGGGCCCCAGGCTGGGTGAGGAAGGGGGGCAAAGGGGGGCTAATAAGGAGAGAGGCTGACTTAATTTTTTTTTTAATTCTGTGTGTTCAATAAAACACAAGGGCTGCTCCTTTTATAGTCTCTCAGCTGAGCTCTAGGATCCATGCCAAAGGCCTCTCGCATCCACCTGGCTCATCAGGAAGATGGGCACAGACCTACTCCTGAAGATGGGTRGCACAACACTCATAAGAATAAGCAAAAGCCGGGCACGGTGGCACACGCCTGTGATCCCGGTGGCTCAGGAGGCTGAGGCAGGAGGATCCCGAGTTCAAAGCGGCTTAGCAAGGCCCTCAGCAACTCAGTGAGACCCGGTCTCTATAAAATAAAATAAAAATCAATATCAATAAAATCCAAAAATGGCCTGGGGATGTGGCTCAGTGGTTAAGTGCCCCGGTTTCCATCCCTGGTACCAGAAAGAAAAAGAAAAGGCAGGATTGGCATCTGTCAGGGGCCGCACAGCACATGGGAATCAGGGAAGGCCCGGACCCAGGTCTGCCAGGGCAGAGACTGGGTGTGGGATTTGGGGCCACATATTTTTTTTTCAATGACAAATATTTTGGGGTACCTTCTTTATGCCCGACCTGCGCTGGATGATGTCGGGGGCAGAGTGGTGACAAGCAGCCCTGACCCCTGTCCTTGGGAGCTCAAGGCTGATGGGGAGACSATAAGCAAGTAGATGCCGGAATGAGCAGAGTGCAAAGAGAAAAAGATGTCTATCAAGCACCAAGACGGAGGGCCAGGGAGGAGCACCTCTGAGGARGAGGAACTGGAACTGAGTCCTAGTGATGAGAAGATGATTTTTTTTTAAAAAAAACAAACCCAGGTAGAGGGAGCATCAGGTGTGAAGTCCCGGGGGCAGGACTGAGGGAGCCTGTTGCAGTAATAGCAGGAGGAGGTCGGTGGCACTGGGGCAGAGTGAGCCAGAGAGAGGGAAAGAGGCCAGGGAGGACTGGGGGAGGCAAAGTGGCAGCTGGGAGCAGGTTTGCTTTTTTCAAGTCATCCTTGGCTGCTAAGATCCCCCCTTACTCACTCTGGCCTCCTTCCTGTTCCTTGAGCCTATCCAAGCGGTCCTACCACAGGGCCTTTGCGCTGGCTGTTCTGTCTGCCTGGAACACTGTCCACATATCCAACTGGCTCCCCCTCATCTCCTTCACGTCTTTGCCCAGATGTCACCTCCTCGGTGGCCATGCCATCTTCAGGGAGGTCCATGTGGATGTACCCAACTCCTGGGCCTCACTGAGTCCTTTTTTTTTTTACTTTATAGCACCATCTATACATTGGACTTAGTGATTTTTTCCTTTGCTGGTCTCCCCTACTAGAAAAGCCAGCTCTATATGGTCAGGGATTTTTTTTTTTCTTCCTTTCTCGTTCCCCACTATATTTCCAGTGCCCTGATCAGTATCTGGAACACAGTGGTAAATGAATCCCTAATGCACAAAATAGTCTGCATTTTCCAAGGGCCTGTCCATTTGGGGCTGGGGGAGCTCCCACCCCCCCCACCGGGGGCTGGCCCTGGTTGTTCCCATGCCTGTCTCTGTCGCTTATTTATGGAGCTACCTGGGTGCTTCCTGCGAGGAGGATCCGCCAGCCTCTCCCCGTCCCCAGAGCACACACAGGATCAATATGGCGCGTYTCCTCTGTCTTCACAGGTGGCAAGTGCAGGCAGCTGTCCCAATTGTGCCGGTGTCAACGCAGGTGAGTCCATAAGGAGTGGGGGCCACCAACCCCGCGGGGACTCCAAGAGCGAGCCCCCACCAGTGCCTGGCACCCAGCCTCCTCCCTCCCTCCCCTCCAAGAGCCTACAGAGTGGTCAGTGGAAGAAGCCCCGCCTGAGAGGGAAGACCCCGATGGACGGAGCCAGACCTGGGCTGACCCCCGAGTCCCACCTGCCCGCTGCCGCCCCGGGGGCTTCGGGCTCCCTGGGCACCGCCCCTGAAGTGACCCGCTCTGTTGGGACAAAAATAAAGCACGTGGTCCACCCCCGCGGCCTCCGATCGTGCGACTGGGCAGCGGGAGTGAGAAGCGGGGCTGGCCTTGGGGACCCTGGAGGGAAAGTAAGGGCGGGCGGGGGGTCCGGGCTCCGGAGTCGAGGCTGGGAAGGGAGGGGCGTGGCCGGGGGGAGATGCAGGTGGTGGGTGACCGCGGCCTTGAGTCCCACAGGATGCATGTGACACACCTGTCCTGGTCCGGGTGTCCAGGGCCAGCTTCCCCCAACACAAATGCAGACCCCCACACCTGGCGACCCCCTGTGCCTCCCTCTTGCACCTCGAGGAGGCTTACAAGCGAGTGGGGACTCCTCCGCCTGCCCCTGCGCTCTGTCCACTCTCCCCCGGGCGCAATGACCTCTGCACGMAGGGCTGAGTCTGCCCCGAGTGCCCTGCAGGCCCTGGAGGGGGCTCCCCTGGGGACCCGGAGCCGGTGGACCAGGCACACAATCTGCAGCAGGATTTCCTGAAGGCTCGCGGCCTCCAAAGCCTGGGGAGGGGCTCAGCCGTCAGGCCAGGGCGGGCCTCCTAGGTGCGGCCGGCAGGCAGGCGCCTCCACCCGGGCTCCGGATCCGGCCCCAGCCAAAGTCAAGAGARGAGAGAGATCCAGGGCCCAGACGGCTCAGCCACCAAGTCAGTGTACTGAGCCACKAGCTGCAGACGGGAGAGAAAGAAGTCACAGAAAATAAAATATCCGACTTTTTCTTTTCMTGATCTTCCTCAAAAATATAGTGTAGCTACTATTTACACAGCATTTATATTGCATTAGGAATTATGAGTAGTGCAGAGATGATTTAGGGTGGGAGTATCCATAGATTATATGCAAATAATATGTTTGCAAAATATATTTATATGCAAATAATATATACATAATATATATTTGCAGACCATTTTATATAAGGAATCTGAGCATCCACAGATTTCAAATCCTCAGARGGTCCTGGAACCACCCCCTTTGAATACCAAGGGAAGACTACACAGGTAGTATGAGAGATACTAAAAATATTTTGTAATTGACATCCACCACCTACTAATCAGAATAGATGCCTACCCCAGTCAGTACGGAATGTCATCTGTCTATCTATCTATCTATCTATCTGGATCTATTTATAGTCATATACATATTAAACTGAACCATTTGAAAATGTCACCATTCAAATAGTTTTGATATGCAGAAAGAGTGATTTCATATGACTTAACCTAACGATATACATCATGGTGATGGTATAAAGTGTATTTTCTAATCACAGGTTGCTTTTTAAAAACACTGAAAAGCAACACCAGGTACAGTGGCTCCCACCTGTAATCCCAGCAGCTTCGGAGGCTGAGGAAGGAGGATCAGGAATCCAAAGCCAGCCTCGGCAACTTAGTGAGGCCCTAAGCAACTCAGGGAGACCTTGTCTCAAAATAAAATATAAAAAGGGCTGGGGATGTGGCTCAGTGGTTTCAATCCATGATACAAATAATAATAATAATAAATAAATAAATAAATGAAAATCACCAGAGAAGGGCTTGCTGCAGGTTGTGGTGGGGAAGGGAAAACCACTTCTGACCCCAGGAATTGCTGGCAGCACATGTGCCCCCAGCTGGGAGGCCACACCAGCGTGTGGGATGTTTGTGGGGTATTATTTCCCAATCTTCAGTTCTTGCATGTTCTTTTGCCAATTTTCACACACCCCCTGTATTATTCATCACTCTTTTAAAAAAAGACCAATTCCCTTTTTAACTTAAGTAAATTTATTTTAAAAGGCACAATCATATATAGAAAATCAATATAGCTTGATATAAATAGAAGACACCCATAAAGATGAATCTCATGAAAACTAATGAAGTCAGAGTCTCGCTGTGTCCTAACTGGACACAAAGATGCTGACCGAGGGCTGGGCCAGGGAGACCATTGCATCTCGGGTGTGGTCAGTACCCACCACCCAGACACTGCAGAGGTTGGGAGGCCTGAGACTGCCCTCACCTCTGGTACCCATGTGGGTCTGAGGACSCCCAAGATCATCCTTGAGTTGGATGATTGGCCAGAAGGGCTCAGAGCGCAAGGATTGCCGTTAGGTTCATGGTCACGGTTGACAACGATGAAAAGACGCGCATTCAAATCAACCAGGGAGAGAGACACATGGGGAAGGACYTGGGAGTGTGCCCGGCACAAATCTTCCCTGTCCCCTCCCAGAGTGGAGCTTTGTGGACAATGCTAACTTCCCCAGGGGTACTGCCCATTCACTCAAGCCTTAGGTCAAGAGTGTACAAACTCTGGGCTCAGTCATATAGACATGATTGACTTCCCATCTGGCTGACCTTAGCGTCCAGCCCTTTAAGGGGTGTTGCTGATCCATGTGATCCAAAGCCCCCACCATAAATTGCATTGTTAGAAACCAGCTGATGTGAGCCGAGGCCCCCATATAAAGAAAGCCACACACCAGACAGAGGTTTTCCAGGGCCTAGCAATCACCTTCCAGCAGCCAAGGGCAAAGCCAAGGTGTGGTTAATTCAAAGTCAGGGTACAGTGGGCTCTTCTCTCTATAGACACTTTCTCCTTTGTATCATTTGGTGGATTAAATCAGTAAAGTGGACCATGAACTGCATACAAACTAGTTTCTGGTGATGCAATGTGACTGATTCTCTGGTGACACAATGCAATGTGATTTAATATCGTCTGGGACCTGAAATCAGCTCACTGCTACCACCTCAGCYCAGGAGAATGCCTGGCAATGTGGGAGACACCAGCTCACCTGTGGACAACTGGAATCGGGACTCAGGGACCAGACCTCCCTCATCCCAGCTCCCCATGGGATGGAGATGACAAAGCTATGTTTCCCAGAGGCATCCTGAGTTGGGGTTCAGAACGTGGATCCAGCTCTTCTAAATAGAGTCCCTCCTGGAAGATTTGAAAGACCAAGAGAGAACCTTTCTCCATAATTGGCTATTTTCTGCAGTCTAGTATGATTGGAAAGGGACTGAGTTTTCTTGTTTTGGGTTTTTTGTTGTTGTTGTTGTTGTTGTTGTTTGTTGTTGTTTTGTTTTTGACTACACCACTCCAGCATCCAGTCATTTGCCATGTGGTCATAAAAAGACAATCGTTTCCTGTGTTCATATGTGAATACCACGACCAGTGTGACTCGACATCATGTGCAGCCCCCAGAATGGGAAGTTAGCCGACTGCTGTGGTGCACGCTTGTAATTCCAGGGGCTCAGGAGGCTGAGGCAGGAGGATTGCCAGTTCAAAGCCAGCCTCAGCAACTTATCAAGGCCCTAAGCAACTTGGTGAGACCTTGTCTCTAAATGAAATACAAAAAAGGGCTGGGGACGTGGTCCAGTGGTTCAGTGTCCCTAAGTTCAATCCCCAGTACCAAAAAAAAAAAAAAAAAAAGAGTTACACTCCACGTATGTATAATTTGTCAAAAGACACTCTCCTGTCACGAACATCTAAAAAGATCAAATTAAAAAATGAAAAAGGCAATTATGCCCACAAAAAGAATATCTAAATGGCCAATGTAAATGTGAAAGATATTCAATTTTGTTAACCATCAGTAAAAGATAAATGACAATCACAATGAACCAGCACCACATACCCCCTATGATTAAAAAAGAGGCTGACGATTCTAAGTGCTGAAGGGGATATGGAACAACTGGAATTTTCGCACTGGATTTTCCCCAGGAGAATAAATTGATTATAATCATTTCAGAAAGCTGGTATYTTATTTATTTATTTATTTATGACAGTGGGAGGCATTACAATTCTTATTACACATATAGAGCACAATTTTTCATGCCTCTGGGTACCAAGTGTGAAAGGAAGAAACACAGATCCACACGATCACACGGATGCCTCTCGGAAACATTCATCTGCAGGAAGGAAGCCCCACAGAAAAGAGCACAGACCGCATCACTCCATGGACCTGAAGTTCTGGAATCAGCAGAACTAACGGATAGACAGAAGCTGGGCACCGCGGCAACCACTCAGGATTGCCCAGGAATTCAAGGGCAGCCTGGACAGAAAGCAAGACCATTAAAAAAAAAAAAAAAAGTCAAAACGAATCAATGGTGACAAAAGCCAGAGTAGCGGTTGCCTCTACTGTTATGATGTTGGCTCTCTTATGTCCACAGCAACGGAACGGGGTGACTGCCAAGAGGCATTAGGGCAACCTCTTGAAGGATTGAGATGTCCTGTACCCTCACCGTGGTGCGGGTTACCCCTCCCTATCCACCTGTCAGAGTGGATCCAACTGTCCAATTGAGATCTGCACCACGTGGAAGTTAGACACAAAGAAATCCAAACCCAAAAGGCAGTTCTGTTCTGGGTGGTGGTGACTTCCTGAGCCCTGACCTCAGGCAGAGCAACAGGATCCTGAAGGTGACGTGTCCAGTGGCGGCTCCTGGTTAGGATTCAGGGAGAAACGCCCCTGGTGAGTCAGTTGGGTCATATCTTGGGGGTCATTTCCAGGATCTCAGTCTCGTGCTCACTCCATTAGCCTTTCCAGAGATGTCATGGACTCTAATCCCGGATCCGACCAGATTGTTTTTTGCTTAAATCTGACAGTCACCAAATCTCAGTGGCTTCCAACAAGGGCTTGTTTCCCTCTCCCACTGCACCAATGGAACTTGCGGGGGGGACTCAAGATGATGCAGAAGCCACTAACAGAAACGTAAGAGAACAAAAAGAGGCACACACTGGCCCTTGTAGCCTCTGTAGGAAGGAAAACACATCGCTTCGGCTCACCTGTTCATTGGCCACAAAACAGCTGCAGGGGTCTCAGGCATCATGCCAACTCCAGGGGAAAACATTGTGGGGCAGCAAAGGTAACACGAGGTGGTTCTGCTCCTCTTAAAAAGATCTCCTCCCCCAAACTGCCACTTACTTCTGATTGGTCACCTTTATCTGCAAAGGAAACTAAGAAATGTCCTTTGGCTGAGTCCATGACAACCTGGCTGACATCAGAGAAAACCAAGTCTCTAGG